AAGGACCAAAATAAAGTGACGTACCTTCAAAATTCTATTTAAAAAGGAGCGTGAACTACAGTTTGAAGACCCCGTCCGCAAAAAGCCTACCAGTTAATTAGGTCCTTTCACGTTTTTTTTTTCAAAAAGTACGTCAAAGCATTCGAAATTTTGCAAAGAATCCACTACAAGTGTACACCCAAAATATCCAAACTAGGCTCCCCTCCCCCTGATGCTCAGATTTTCAAATGGCATTCGGAAGTGGGCAACCGAATGAGCGAGGCGTGGATACGAGGAAGAGTAGGGTGAGTGAGTGGATGTTGTGAGTGTGTGGCATCGGCCGGGATTTCCCGGAAAAACAGGGGCCGGCCGACAAATCTAAGCACCCAGGCCCGGATCACGCAGGTGCAAATTAGCCGGCCAACGAGGAGGCCTGGCTGGCTGCAGCCACGCCATCTATCTAGCGTGTGAACCAGGAAATGCCTGAATGGGTGAGGTGGCCAGAAAAACTAGTGTTTTTACCGTGTGCAGGTGATCCTGCGAACACCTGGTCGTTGACATTCTTGAGATCAGGAAAATTGGCCGGAGATCTGCGGGTCAGTGAAAGTTGGGAGTGGTTTTAATGGTTGTTTGCACAAGTAACTGGGCTAAATTACCTAGACGTCTCAAGCCGCGATTTTTTTTACTTCCTATGGCCTTTAAACTGATTTGCGATCATAATGCCGAAAGTTATGAGGCCCAAAATTATAATGCCAAAGCTCATAGTGTCGAAGTTCTTAATAGCGAAATTGATAATTTCGAAATTCAGAATGTCGACATTTTGGGGTTGGGGGGTTTCCGCAAAATTAGCTTACGTAAATTTTGGTATTTTGAAAGGGACCCTTTGACTTTCCAGAGCCTTTAGAATTGATTCTGGTAAGCAGAGGGGACACGGTAAGTTCTATATTTATCCAAAGTTATACCTGATCACCTAGCCGGAAATAATGTTACTGTAATGTCCAGGTGAAACCAATCGGAACTTCTTAAAGAATTCTGATGCCTTGCGGACCGAAATGGGCTGGTATCCCGAGAACCAGAGGGCCACTTGATTACTCCCTATTTCAGGAGCTATCCATCCATTAGGGATATTAAAAGGTGACAAACTATCGGGTGAAAGTGATGCTTTTGCAATATTGACGGGGATTTAGGAACATGCAATTTCGCAGTTCGATTTCGGATTTCGCAAAACTGCGTGGGGTCCCGAATAAAAAACAGACGGTTCATATCATTTAGATCCGGTCGCGCGCGATCAAAAATTACGATATTACCATTCATACAGGGAAAATCCGAGCGATTTGAAATATTTAAAGCTTTATTAATATGAGAGGCTGTTCCCGGGGTTTGGAAATCTCAGCTGAGGCCTCGGAGTGGAAGGATGAGCCGATTTGTCATAAGAATTACCTGGGAAAGCTGCGCGGCTTGAGCAGCAAAACACTTAAAAATGGTTACGAAATAGCTTCTTCCCCCGAAACAATGAATTTAGTCCATGTGATACCATAGGACGGACGAAATGCCTAGTGCCGATAGGTCTTGGAAAGCCGCTTAAAATTTCAAAAAAAAAACATGGTAAACAAATTAAACAAGCAACATTCAGAAAACTAGACATAGCACTCAATTCCGCGGCTGCGAAAACTATAACGCATGCCGAAGCGAACGCAACGCTTTCAAACGGCCTTCGGTGCAGCTTCAGCGCAAAATTGCCCTAAAATAGACTCCCTAAGCGTGCCGTCTATTTAAGCCTACCGGTTTCCTAATTCCCCATTTGCTCTCCTTCACATCTAAATTTCCGCACGATAAACTCGTCATCAAAATAGCACCCCCTACCGTAGCCCTGAACCTTGGCCGACAAAAAACTCCCCCAAAAAAGCGTCAGAATGCCCATTGTGTCTCAAGAAATGGCGTCAAAAAAAATGCGCCCAATAGTGGCCATGTGATGGGCCAGAGTCCAAAGCCTAAGCCCCAGGCCCCTCCGCCTCGACGTCTAGAGTCCCCTCGCCCGAAAAATTCGGGCAATTACTGCCTGGGGCCAACAAAAAGCACATAAGTGTCTGGCGTATGGACCCGGGCGATGGGTCCATAGGTTTCTCTTCTCTCTCTTTCTCTCTCTCTCTCTCTCTCTCTCTCTCTCTCCTGATCCGGAATGCGAACGTGCCAAGAAAATGTACTCAGGAACATAATGGAATTTTGCGGATTCGCGTGACGAATGGGGTGGCGTGGATTTATCAAATGAGCACAAAAAAGTCATGTAACCGAATGGTAAATTGTGCTTTAATGAGATCGCTATACTTTTTTGATGGTGGGAAAAATTTAATCAACAGTTAGACCTGTCTACGCGGCCAGAAAATGATGTAAAGACATGGAGCGAGGTGTCGCAGCACCTTGAATCCAGGTCATGTTGGTTTATTTAAAGAGAGAGACAACAGAAAGAAAGAGAGAGAGAGAGAAAAGAGAGAGAGAGAGAAAAAGAGAGAGAGAAGGAGAGAGAGAGAGAGAGAGAGAGAGAGCGAGAAAGAGACACAAAAAGCGACAGTGAGTGATAGAGTGAGAGAGAGAGAGTGAGAGAGAGCGTGAGAGAGATAATGAGCTCTATAACTGGAATATTTCAAAAAAACGTGGACCCCCAAAAAATTTAACTCTTCCAATCCTTTTATACCCGTGGCATACATTGCGCTACAAAATCCAAACAAGGATAATCGAATCCCGGAATACCGGCATGTGCGCAATGCATGAAGCTTGGAACCTTCCGGCCCAAACCATTACGCGTTGATAGGATTGCCACGGAGCGCTTGTTGTGCCCTGTGGTTGCTGTAACTTGGTGGCGTAGGTGGTCGCGGCGACGACATGGGGAAATTTGAGCCTCGCTTGGTCATCGTGACGAAGCCCAAAAATAGTTGAGCGGCTGAGCGAGGGGTGTCTAGTTTGGAAATCTGAACCGCGGAGGATCTTTAAAAATCGTCCTGAAAGCAACAGTCAAGGTTCCGATTTAATCCATATTCTGGAACTCTATAGTCAGCCCTTCAAGGAACCTTAAAAGGGTATTGCAGTCCGTTTTCGTCAAATTAAGTGTTATGACAGTTCTAAAAAGGTATGCCGCATTAATGAACTTCCTGAATCAAACATCTTGAGATTCGGCAGCATTCCCTAATGTTAAAAAAGCCGTGTTTATGCTGCGTCGACACATCCCTGCCATTCAATCCCGAGACAAAAAGACTGAGACGTAATCAAAAACTCGAAAAATACGAAGCGGCCATTATGGTGGTTTTGAAAACAAAACCGACGCGCACCTCACAATTTTAAAATCCGCCATTCAAGCGGAAAGACTAGGAAAAGGGCGTTGATCTCTGGAACGAGAAAGAACAAATAGAATCGGATAGGATGTATCAATCACCACTACCTATTTCCCATCCTAAATGGTGATCTACGCTAATTTTCGTTAATTTTATGCCCTAACATAACTGCATCATTTAACTAAGATATTTATGCTTTTTATATTCCCCAGACCCTTCCATTTTTCCCTTGAATCACGAATCCTTCAAGTTCCACATTTGTTTCAACCTCCCACCCGGCCAGATGGAGCTGTTATTTCAAAAATCAACCGAAGCAACCTGCTATACAATCGGCGCAGGTGTCGGCCAAAAAAAACAAACCAAAACACGGCATCACTTGATATAGCGCGTTCTGAAAAATTTGGCATTTGGCCAATGAAAAAAGACATGGTCCCGCGATGACGTGTGATTTTTGGAATTTGGCCAACACTTTTAATGGGCAATTTTTAGCTAACGATTAGAAAAAAGCCAAAGAAAAAAGCCGAAAAACCGACGAACGAGTTTTTTCAGAAGTCACCAGCGACCCCTAGGTGGTCAACAAGGCATTAATGATGCCCAGGAATGTCAACAGCTAATCAGATCCGCACATATTTGGTTATTTACGGTTCACACAGCCTTGATCTTTATTTAAAGTAGGCTTGACTCGATTTTTTGTCGATTTGAGGAACCGCTTTTTGTAAATCAATGTAAGGATAAATGTACCGTACTCAAAGTTTTTGGCTTTGCCTTGTAAACAAGAGCTTTTTTAATCAGTACCAGGGTTGAAAAGCCGCTTCGCGACTTTTCAACCCTGGGCCCGTCCCAAAATCATGAAATTCTTCACTTTGCATAATTCGCCCGAATTGCGGCCAGAAATAATGAAAAGAGGTTGCCTCTCTCCCGTTATATAGGCTTCCGCCACTTCCGGCGAATGCTAATCGTTTCCTAACAAAGAGGGGTGACCAATTTTTCATGAAAAACTAAATTTTAATATCGAAAACAATTTATTTTCAAAAATCTGATATGTGTGCAGTCATCTCTAGACCATGACGCATCTAATGACGTATCAAACATACCTTTAAGTCCTTCCCCTAATCCGATACTACTGGAACACGCTGACGGAAGTTGCATGCAAATGCACACACATACATACATACACACACACACAGGAACTATTTTTTTATATATATCAGTATCAGTATCAGTATTTGGGTTCGCATTCCTTAAGTTACTCAAATTCTGCTGGCATTTGCATAGAAATGGAACTATAAAATTTTTCAGTAAAAGAATTAGTTGTCTTAGTTTTTGGTACTACCGTATACCCAGAAGTGTTGTAATTATGTCATTTTTTGCTGAGTTTATTAACTAGAACTTTTTGGAGCCGAACCCGATCCCGGGTTCGGCCCTGTTTGCCCACTTTCAGTTTGAACATCACCAAAAATTTACACCCGCCAACGGCTCTCGGATATCCTGTGAAAATGGTAATTCGAGGCCCCCGAGGGGGACATCCCGCTTTCACAAGTTGAATGGAAACTTTATCGCCCGAATTCCCAATTTTCACCGCTGGTAACCTGAGACTGATAAATTTTTGAGGGGAACAGGGTGGTACCAAGTTCTGGCTCAAAAAGTTTCGAATTCAACAGTCCTGTCGAAGCTGCGAAGTGTTCACTAGTGGCGATGATGGCATTCGGTAAGTGGATCTCATTTTTAGGTATATGTTTTCGGGGGAATTTTATATGAAGGTAGGAATTTTGTAGTTACGGATGGCCAGGCAGACCAGTTTACATGAGTTACAACTTTTTTAGAATTTTTAGGAGTATTTTCTGCCAGCTTACTTCCAGCTTGTCGGGTTTTGTAGTTTGTAGAGGTCATTGTCGAAAAGATAATGTAATTTAATAAAGCAAAAAATTTTTTGTGATTGTTAAAATAGGGAACAATTATTCGGCAAAAATTGGATCCGTCTTAAACAAGGTTATGCTACTTCAAAGATATCCGCTGGCCTGCTTCAACTTTCCTTTCAAGCAAATAAAGGTTTGGTGGTGCCACCCGGTTTTTTGGAATACTTAAAATAGATAAATGCCTCCTTACCCAACAAAATCCCCATCCTCGATAGACAAAAATGACGTACGTTGCAAACGAAATCACAACTGAAAGTGCACGTTCTTTAGTCTTTTTTAATATCATGGGATTTCCGTGGAAAAATTCCCCCTTTCAATACCCTCTTCACAGCCTATTTTTCACGGTCACCAATTCCGAATTCACGCCATCATCACGATTCGTAGAAGAAAAAGAAGTGGAGACGGAATTGGGGGCCATATGCTAAACGGGGCCGTTCCCTTCTCGGGTCCTTGAAAAGGCCATGTGGATAGTTGTGTTTCGTTGTCTAAGGTTGCTTCTTCTCTTACTTCTGGGAATTGCGGTATCCAGTAGTGGCCGGGGGGGAGACTTGGGCTAATTTGTATGCCGAGCTGACCTACTAGTAGAATCCGCCCTCGTACTACAGGTCTGTAAATATCAACAGGTTTCCATTATTTTATGCTGTATAATCTTTTTCCCCTAAATTTCCTGGCAATTTATAAAAATTCAGCTTTCTTGGGCTTGTTAAACTTCCAGCCGTCTCACGTCTATCGCGAAAACATCCACATTATGATGAATTCTTGACCTAGATCCAATGAATCCTTGCCCAATGACGCCCTCTGGTCTTTTTCTATATCTGTTCATGACGGGCTTCCTGCCCCGTCAATTTCCACGATTCCAAAAACAAGTCTGCGTCGGGGGTGGGGGCACCCACTCTATCTATCCACTCATCCCACCCCGAGGTACCCACTATTCGTTCCCATTTGGCATTTGATGGTTCTGAAATCCAAAGATACGCCGTAAATCCCCAATCTCCATTCTAGCCTTTGTTATGGCAAATAAACCAGACTTCCACTTGATTTCTTTGGAAAAAAGAGGGCACCAAGGAGTTCGATTACGACGGTGCACCCTTCAGATTTTTAGACTGCACCGTAGGTTTTTCGAGTGACGGTTTTTGATACCTGAAATTTCTTCTATACTATGCGTTCTGTTATTCGCAGAACTCAAAATTCAGGTATTCAGTTATCTCTAGCTTACGAGATAAGATGACGGCCCTTCTGATCGCGATAAACTCTGGATAACCTTTATACTGATTGAAACGTCTTTATAATTTGTGTAGTTGTTTAATACGATGAAAAGAGCGCTAAGTTAACTTCTGGCACATTCGAACTTTTGAATGGGCCTTAAAATACAAATATCTTCTCCCAGATCTTTAAAACCCGCGAACAAGAATTCGTACAAAACTTCCGTTGCATAACCAAATTCCGCCGACGCTTCCATGCCCCAAAAACCCCAAAAAACGTGCCTAAACTCTTTGGCCCTAACGTCCCCTGTTTTCCGGGAGTAGCTGCGGCAGGAACATGATCAAATTGGGAGGATGTGTGCCCTGGCTTCGGTAGATACGGTGGCTATTCCGGGGTCCATTTCCCGGAATCAATGACAATCGAGTCCCGGGGTTCGCCTTGTTTTTGTTGGCCGGCCGGGACCACACAGGAAATGACGATATTTGCATTGCAGTCATCCTTTTACGAGCCGGCAAACCGAAGGCTTTACTGACGTTATTTGTCCTGGATCCGGGAAGCAAGAGTTGGTTTACAAGTTTTTGGTTTGAATTTTTGTAGCTATTTTTTCTATGGTTTCACAGTTAAATGGGTTTTTACAATATTATGTATTATGGTTTTCGCTAGATATTCTCATTTTTAATTTACCGTGCCAAAATATGAGGGGCCTTTATCAAATTGCGAAACTAAGGTAACCCCACGTCAATAGACAGATTTTTCAAATGTTCAACTTGGGACGGTAACCAAATACATTTTTTTGCTCGTCCCTTGGGATATTCGAACTGCGAAACCCTCGTGCAATTGATTTTTCCAACAAAAAAATTGCAGTTCTCAAATTCCTTGATGCGATGAACCATTAAGCGAAGCCAAATTCGTTAACTTCTTTTTTAGGCTCATTAGTGTTTGAACACCCACCTTTCTGCGAATCTTTGGAAACACAAACTATTGCCCCCCCCCAGGGATTTGCGCTTTCAAACGAAAATCTTCATTGCGTGAAACCGACTGTCGACTGACGCGCAAGAAATTCGGGGAGCGTCACCGGCCCGGGGAGCTGCAAAATTATGGGAGTTTCAGATTTCGGGGGGTGGGGGTTAAGAAGTTGTCGGGAGGCCGTAATCGGTAGCTTAAGGATTTTTTTGGGACTTGAATTCGGTCCTATGGAGGAGCGATTCTCAGGTTCAAAAACTTTAATGAGGCTTTTTCGGCGCTGCGGGGGATTTAAATGCGGGCACGTAATTTTTAGGACAAGTTGGGCGTCGAGAGCTTTCCACTGAAAAAATTTCAACTTTGCCAGACTTTGGATTGCATTTATCTCGATTTTTCCCGCAGCACATTGGAAATCTTTGAAGTACATTTTTGAAGGCATTTGAAAATATTTCCTCATGAAGTTGTCTTTACTTTACACTGCACCTTACGCAACCCAAAACCGTGTGCATAGATCGCTTCCAAAACACTCAAACACTTGTCAAGCCCAAACCCGCTAATTTCATCGGCCGCGCCCCTCGCGGACTCCGAAAAATGGGCCGCTCGACCTGATTGGATACGGGCGACCCCGAGAGGGGCCATGGACCCAATTGCCTCCTTATACTGCGGATCGTTCGCGCCGGGCTTTAAAGTCAAGAAGTCGTAGCTGGGCGTCGGAGCTTGTTCTTATATTTCTAGAGCCTGTAGGTTTTTTGAAACTATAGTACCTTAAAATTGATTAATTTTGTATCAGGAACAAAAAAGAGCCTTAGAAAACAAAATTTAGGCTTATCCTGAAGCCTAAATAAACAATGGACAGGGCGGTTTGGAGTGGTTCGATTCACTGTCATAGCCTTCGGCTAAACATAGGCTTAAGTTTAAGTTGAGGCTTACAAGCCTAGCTTACGTTTGCAATTAGGCTCGAGCTTAAGCTCAGGCGCAGGCTGAAGCTTAGGCTTATTAGGCTTATGCTAGATTGGGGCTACACTTTACTGTACACTTTACACTTTACTTTACCCGCCGCCCCCCCCCAGCCGGAAGTTTTTGGCTATAACTTTTTTATTTCACATCATTGTGGGCTCAAATTAAAACTCTTAGTATATTTTTCGACGCTCTATCGAATTAGTGGCAAAAATCCCGAAAAAATAAGCGAAGAGACCGAAAACTTTGAGACCCGTCGGCTGGGGGGGTAATGTAAAGCCTTACCTAGATTAGCCGCACGGGCTTCTAGTGCGAATGACTTTTCAAACTGCAAAACTCTCTCCGTTTCACACCGAAATTTGACCACCGCTCCCTCGCCCAAACGTTCGAAAACGTGGTATTCCACCATCCAACCACAATTTCCACAAAGTCGAACAAATTACCGTTGTAGCCAAGAGCTAGAGTGATTTCTGTAAATATTCAGTTCAAGGTCCCACCCGGTCCCACCCCCTCACTGATTGCCACATTTGCAGCTGTCCAGCGTTGTGTGGGTTTTTGGGTGGGTTGAAGGGAAATGACGAGCGGCTATTCCCGGACCCCAGCACATTTTGCCAAATTCGGAATTATCCCGCGTGGGCCCCCAATTAGGACCCTAGGGCCAAGGAACCTCATAACCCTCCCGCTTGACCTTGACACTCTCCGTACTCCTTCTGGTACGGCACGACTGATTAACCTCGACCTCCTGTCTATATTTTAACATGTTTTCGGGTATTCTTTGGACGCACGAACCAACGTCAAAATTTTAATTTTTGGTTCTGGATTCTAGCGACGTCATCAAATTTCTAGGGTTGTTCTTAGCCTCGATTCGGATTAGGTCAGGTTATTTTTGGTCAATCCCGGCCATTCTTGACACACCGCAATAATCTAGCGATTGCGGCTTCTAGGGTTTTACACGGAGCTGCTTGGCCGGAATTCCAAGAAATCTATTTGTCTATTTTGGGGCGTTACGAAGATTACAGGGATATGGAAAGCAGACATGAAGCGCCTATCTTTTGGATTTTCATGCTTCCTCGGATGATGTACCCTTTAAAGGGCCGAGGAAAGTCTGGAAATTGACCCCACACCTCGATTAGGTAGACTACACAAAACTATGTGTCAGCTATGTTAGTTATACAAAACTTTTTCAAGAGCCGCAAACTCAAGTTCTAATAAATACTGCTACATGGCCCTAAATTTTCAAAGACGGTATTCGCAAAACTGCTCTAAACGTGTTCTTTCTCTCTTCCTCCACGAGTCATTTTTCGTTATACCGTTATTCGTATTTTATGACAAGGGTTAAGTCCAATAACTCACGTCCCCGGATCACGAGATAAATTACGACCTCCCTTTTATTGGCCTTTCCTAGAATCGAGCTGATTCCGGGTGGTCCAGGAAGCCCTTCATAAGTCCAATTTTCCGGGGCAGAAGCCCTAGATGCAAATATCCAGGTATTGGAGGAGGGGTTTCCAGGTCAAGTCCTTCCCAGATTACTCGTATCCGTAAAAATCTGGATTTTTTCGTGTAGTTCCCCCCAAAATTTCTTAACTTTTCCAAATTCCCTACCGTCAGTTTCAAAACCAGGGTTCCCACAATCATCAGCGGTCCAAAAAATAGGAATATTCATGCGAATAAATTTTGCAACCCGTTGCTCAAAAACCAAGACCCGAAACTAGGTCCAATTTGCATGAGAAACTCCCAGAAAAAATCTCACAATAATCTAGACGGGTTCGAATTGAAGCGCCGGGTATTTGTGGAAACCCACCCGACCAGAGAAAAGGAAACACGGAAGATTCCCATTTCACATTAAAAATTCATGGTATCTGGAACCCGGGCCGGAAGGGGGGGGGGACAGGCTAGTGGGATCGCCCTCGAACCGCCCTACCTATTTATGAGGGTTCTGCTCTCCTAGTGCGTTTAAAAAAGTGATTTCATTCGGTTTTCGGAAGATTTTTGGGGCTGCTATAATTTTTGATGCGTTTTAAAAGTATCCGGAAGCCAAGAAATTTGGTTTGTTAGATGTTTAGAAAGAACCAAATATCCGTTCTCTCCGTGACACTCGTCCTTTTATCATATTAGTAGTTGCGGCAATCTTTATGCGGCAGCCTTTAAGGTACTTTAAATGGCTGTTTTATACCCACGCCTCATTGTATATTCTATGAATTAGTCTAGAAAACATGATCCCATTTTGTAACAAAATTTACCATCTGCATATTTACGAATGGCCTAAATTTCAAGTGTTTTTAGAAAAGGACGCTAGGAGAGAAGGTCGGCCAAAATAAATGGATGGGTTGCACCCTTTTTCAATTGTTTGCGTGGGGGTGCCAAGCGGAAATTAGGCGTCGCGATTTGCTTAAAAAGGCCTAGAAGCTCAAATTTAGTTAATTTCGAGTTGGTATTCTAAATTTTGTTTTGGTTTGATAACGTTGCCTTACCATTTCTATGGCTCATGTCAATTTTTCCTAACGTTAAATTTACAATTTTTTATTAATTAACAACCTAGATTTTTGGACGCTTTGAAATTCGGTTTCTTTGCAAACCTGACATCATGGTATACGGTAACTACCGGATTGGAAATCACAAAATCCGATTCCACTCCGCTCCCACGTAGCAATTACGGGCTGGAAACGCGGGTTAGGGAGGGGCGACCCGCGCTGATATCATGTTGGGGCCCGCAATTTTTTCTAATTCACTTCGGGTCCTCGCCGGGTTGACCTATTCCGCTCAGCTGCACGATTTAATTACCGGGGTCCCCGCCGTATTTTTGGAACGGAAATGGGTGTGAAAGTTTGCCCCCCCCCCTCCCCGGCAGGACGTTCCTTGTTGCCGGCGGTGAATTTTTAAATGATATTTTCATATAGCGTCATTTAGCGACTTTTAGATCATATATAACTTCTACTTAAAAATTTTAAGAGGCTTTGAATGTAAAGAACCTGTTACATAAAATTTTTTAGGGACTAGTCATTTTGACGTACATTTACGAATTGGTTTTTTGCGACTTTTTGAAGAATTGACCTTGCTGTCGCTGCACCTTTAAAGCAGTTGAGACGCCAATGGATTTTGCCGCAAACACGACACGCAACACGCGCCTGCCTTTTGACTGCGTGATCGATTAATGGGATCAAGCTACTCGCGTTCCTTGTTGCGTTGCGCTCGCGGGAAAAATCTGTGCTGTGTCCCCAGCTCAAATATACCTACATTTTTTCCATTTGAGCTTTTTGAGTTTTAAGCAATGATGCAAATCTACAGGCAATCAGAACGTACTTGGCCCCAGAAAAATCTTACTAAAAGAAAAATTCTTCCCTCAACCAACTCCTTCCAGCACCTGTCCCCAACTCACAAATTACATATCGCAATTCCCCGTCAACCCCTATTACTTAATTTACGACGGCCAATATTTTTATAAAATGTACACCCAAAAATCAGGGCCACGCGCGTTCCGCCTCCCACCTCTAAATAATTACCCCCGCCTGGACCTGCTTCCGAAATGATGTCAAATCGGGGGCCGCTCCGGGGGGAACATTTTGGGTTTTTGGGCATTGTTTAAAATTCGGCCACCCACCTCGTGTCTGCCCATTGTCCGTTTTTGAAAACGGAACTTGACCGAGGCGGTGGCTATGGTTTTCCGCTTTGCCAGGGGGAGGGGCCGATTTTAGGCGTTTTCTCAGGTTTGGGAACTTTTTCGTTAGCCAGATTTTCCTGGAAATCGTCAGCGGGTGCTCACTGCAGTCTTTGGGATAAAGTGGCCACAATGAAACCTTCCGTTTTCAAGAAAACCTAGAATCCAAAATTTTTTGAACATCTTGGAGTTGGGCTACTGAAACCATGGCAAAAATACCGATACGGAAAGACAACAGACTTTTGCGTAACTGGAACTGTATTTTTCAAAACCGACAACTACAACCTTAAAATTGAGTATAATTTTTTATAAAACTGAATTCTTAAACTCTAAAATTTCTAGAAAATGTCACGAAAATCGCGAAGTATTTTGCAAAAATTTCAATTTTTAAGCTGTTTTTAACTAATATTTGTCCATTGTTCGTTTGTTTTTATTAATCTACCAGCGCCCAAAACCCGCTTCGCGGGCCTTGGGCGCTGGAATGCGGCCTTTGCATGAAAAATTTGACTTCCCGATAGCTCGGGTCCTTCGGACCCCTACCCCCCCACCGACCACACACGCGAGTGCAACTGGCAAGAATGAGGAAATTTGTATTTTTCCGCATTATGCAAATTATCCCTCAGGGACCCCCAAAAATGGATAAAACCGGCTTTAACTTTGTAAACTTGTATTTTATCGAAATTCCGTCAACGCCATCGGGAACAGAAGGGTCGATTCCCCCCGGGTGACGGAGAATTGAGGCGTTTTGGACACGGGAAGGCCCTCAAATCGGGTCTCGAAAGTGACATCCGCACACACACACACACACACACACATACGCGCCAAAATGATATAAGGTAGGATGTCCAAAAACATTTGTTAGCTTAAGCTAATATCTAACTCATATACAATTTTCGAACCCCTATGGTTTGACCCGACTTCCCGAAGTCGAATCGCAACTTCTTGCCCAGCCACCCTCCACCAGCCCATCTACGCCGCCGTCGAATTCAATACTACCTAATCCTATCGACGCCCATTACCAGTGTGTATTATTGTATTTGTCGGCGGCTCCGTTCTCTACCTGACAACGGTAGAGCCGCGCTTTCGGCCTTGGCGATATCGTCATGCTTTCTACCGAACCCAGACAATCAGCGCATTTTTTTGGTACATCGCGATTGAATAACCGGTAGTTCAGACGTTGGGTTAGATTTGTGTTGCGAGGGTGCCGTCGAAATCATTTGTGGCGCTATGGTGGACGGTGTATAAAATACACAGCGTACAGGGAAGTGGGACGTAGTCGTAGCCAGCCAACCCGCGGCCTGACTTCTGGTACTACTTAGTGATAATAAGCTCTTTTTAATCATCTCTTCTAATTCCTGGATACTTTCAGCCGATTTTAAATAGATTTTTGATACCTGCACAATTTTTACGACCAAAATTTAACCGATGACGCAACCAAACCCTGCTGACCGATCTTTGGACTCTATTCCTCTTTTTGTCCAATTCTTTAGAACAATAGCCAATTTCTAATGCGCTCTGCCAAAAATATTTCGACCGATTTCCAACCACTACGCACCCGTCAAAAATCACCCGGGGCAGCAGAACCCCCTTCCTGCTGAATCCCAAATTTTAGCAGCACTTCCTTTGTTTGGAGACCGACACGAGAAAAGTGTTTCCTGGTGTACGGCCGGCCATCCAGCTGATTCCGCGTTCCGACCCTGCGATTTCAGGCGCGATCATTGCTTTTTTTAAGTTCTTTGGCATGACGTAGTTGCCTGGTTCCATGGTCAGCCATGAGGTGATGACGGATTTATGTTCTTCACGGTTCTCTATCATTAAACACACAATAATGAGAGCTTCCAGATGTGTAATTTTCATAAAAATTGCTTTTGAATGTCTTTGAAAGTGGCAATTTTGCAAATCGAACTCCTCTGAATGATTTTCCGCAGTCTTCGAGGAGTTCAGCAAACTTTTACAGGATAGACTAATCATCCCGTTTTGCAGGTAAAATGGTCGTGCTCACGCGGGCTGCAGTCGTCCCCAGCGTCATCCTGCTCTTTGCCGTATGCGTCCAATACGTCAGCAGGTGCGGAGGGGAATAGCGAGCTCGGGGTTTTAAAGAAGTTGCGCCCAGGTTCCATAAATGCCAAACCCAAAACCGCCCAGATATAATACTAGGTCTTGACAGCTACAGAAAGCTCCAAATTACGCTTACTAAGCCCGATGGTCCTACTTGCATGCGGCATTTGAAGCGTTGCGTGGCTGCCGAGACCTAGTGTGGGTAAGGGGTCGATTCGAGGCCTTTTCTAGTCCTTCAAAATAGCGAAAATAAAGCGTAGTTAAAGTATCGAGCACTGGACTCTACAAACCCAGAAAAATTTACAATTATCTATTTTTAGTGAAGAACTGGTCGAAGTGGATGGTGGGTTTTAAAGTTGTATCGTGAATTTGTAAAATGTAAACCTGGTAGTCCGCTACCATTTAAATACGGTAGTACAATCCCTAAAACTGACATTTCAGAAAGTGTCCCAGACCAAAGCGAATCGTTCGCCGAACGGCCCAGCAATAACTATCCACAGTAAGTTTTTAAGGTATTTTAATGGACTTCCAATGGATTCAGCAACGTCCGGTTTTCACTTTTTTAGTTCTGGCATTTGTGCATTCCTTAGTTGGGTATGCACCCCTCAACGGCAACCCAAAATTGCACCGTTTTCGACGTTTTCAGTTTCTACCTCTTGTATAATCAAATGCTGGTAAAGCGGGGCAGCGCCGGACGGGACGCGACGGAAAATTACATAGACCCAAGGTAGAGGCGGCGATAGACGGAGTAGACTGTGTAGAGAGGAATGACCGTAATGCGTAGTGCTTAAACTAGAGATTTCACAACTGTCGCTTTGCTAACATAATTACTGTTCCCAATTTTCGGCTCGTCAAATGGTACTAACAAGATTGACGTTACGTGAAGCACCTAACAACATGTATCAATTTTTTTATAGACGGGTACTTGGAGGTGACAATTTTGTAGTAGGATACCTTGGCCAAAATAGCCAGTACCCGCTGTTTTGCAAAGGCGATCCGTTCAGAACTATAGTTCCAAAGGCTACAGTTTGAGGTTTGACGAGGTAACCCGCCCCCGGGTAGGCAGTTGATGTCTTTAGACGCATCATAACGCATTAAAGGTACACTAAAGTCTCGTTGGTTTGGTTACCGGCCAGTAACCGTCCGCGGGATAGCAAACAGGGTTACGGTAGGCGCTCGCCGCGGAGCAAAACCGAACCCGCGCCACTCGCCTGGGGAAGCGCTTTGGACCACTAGGCCATGGGACAGACGGGAGAGGGGACAGGGGAGAGAGGCTATGAAGGGTTGGGGCGAGAGGCGGCAGAGAACCCAAATTCCCGGCCCCTGCGAAAATTTTTGAACGAGATTTTAGTGTACCTTTAACAAGCATATCCAAAAGATTTCGAACACCGAAAAAACAACATTAACGGACACACAACTCGAATTAACCTATGAAAACGACGTTTTTTATCTGGCTGTACCCACCAAAAAAATATATGTAAAACTAACTATCAAAATCCGCATGCCTGGCAAAGTTTTCTATTGCAACTCACTTTCCACATTCCCTGAAAATCTCTCTCGGCAAACTTATTATTTTCCAGGCTATTCTCGTCGGCGATGGGCAAACGAAGCGCCGCCATCGATGACCCCAGGTGAAAAAATTGGGCTGACATTTGAACGAACGGGATGTGTGTGACCACCACCCGCGCCTTGTGATGACTAGAAAGGAAATTGGGCGGTTGTACCTGCCGTTTTTTTTGGGTATGTGGAAAGTTCAGCTGGGTGATTTGCAGGTTCTTCTCCTCGTCATTCGGGAAGCGGAGCTTTGATCCGCGATTTTTGTCAAGTGCCTATGGGAAGCGAGGGATGGATGACCCGAGGTAAAAAAAATTGAGGCTTGCCGATACCGACGAGAGAGAGAGAGAGAGAGAGAGCGCGAAAGAGAACGTGGGAGAGCGAACGAGAGTGAGAGAAAGCTAGCGCGGATGAGAAAGAGACAGAGGTAGTGATAGAGAGAGAGAGAGAGAACGAGAGAGAGAGAGGTGGGAAGGAGACACAGCGAGAGGCACAGGGTGAGAGGCATACAGAGAGAGCGAGAGAGAGTGAGAGGGAGATACAGAGCGAGAGAGAAAGAAAACTGCAAGATTTTTGAAGGATCATGCAAATTTGATTATTTTAGATTCCTCTCCTCGGCTTTCGGCAAACGCGCCGAAGTCGACCCACGATTCTTGAGCAGCGCCTTCGGCAAGCGATCTGTGGACCCTAGGTACGCGTTTTCTACCCATTTTTCAGATTTTTAAAAAAAGCTTGCAGGCAAAATTTAATCTACTTAGAACACTCCGAAAACGTTCTATTTTCCAGGTTCCTCAGTTCCGCTTTCGGGAAGCGATCCGCGCTCGACGACCCACGATTCTTCAGTTCCTCCTTCGGGAAGAGGGCCGACGATTTTGACCCAAGGTAAATCGCATCCCTGTGCTTTCACATCACTTATATCTTTCAGATTCCTCTCATCCGCTTTCGGCAAGCGCTCGATGTAGACATCGGAGAAAAGTTAAAAGTACGAGAAGCTCCCCACGCATCACGGTTAGACTCGCTTCAACAACGGCCCCCACCACCATCTGCAGCTTATAAAAAGGACACTCTTATCGCAATTTCCCCTCGCTATCACAGTCACCATTAAGAATATATATAAAACATGCAGTTGCGTTCATCTGGAATAAATGTGTGATGTATGGATGTGGAATTATAAGGTAAAATGTCCCGGAGAACGAGACAGAGAGAGATAGGGGGGAGGAGAGAGACAGAGAAAGAGAGAGAGAGAGAGAGAGAGATAGAGAGAGAGGGAGAGGGAGAGAGAGAGAGCGGAGGGAGAGAGAAAGATATAATTAGAGCGAGGTAGAGAGATAGAGCGGGAGATAGAGCGAGAGAGAGATACAGATAGACATAAAAAATGACATTTTTACAGCAAAACCAATAGTTCCCTCACCTTGAAAGCTACCAAATCACGCCTCATACCTCACGTAATCCGATCCAACGATCAATACCCACCCCCGGAAATGAGCCCCAACCTCTGACCCCCCCCCCACCCCGTCCAATCGGTTTGCAAATACACCAGCCTCTGCGCAAAAACCGATAAAAATGTCTGAAGGAGGCGGCGGCTGCCGTCTTTTTCCGTTTTCGAGGAGAAGTGGTCGCTGCTTCGATCCGATTGGGGGTGGAGTGAAATGTCAAAAGAACGTTTTGCCACAAATCACGGCCCCCCACCCACACACCCAGCACGCCCGGCAATTTACGGAATTTATTAAATCAAAGGCGTCTGCCGTAATTTTTAATGAGGCGCGGCGGGTGGCCTATTCGGAAGATATCGCAGGTAACGTTCCTAATATTGGCAAAGTGTTGCCAAGGGATAGGTGGCTATTACCATACAGCGTACGGCAGGAGTTTTTGGAAGGGTGGGGGCTTCTTCAGAAGCCCGGATTAAGGACACTATGGAACTTACTTGCTTTTTATTATTTTATGTCTAGTGTGAAACTCGCTGCCGTAGGAAAAATATTTTGTGGTTTTTACAGTAGCAGAACTTATAATTAATTAATTAATTCTGCGCAGAATTTTTCGCGGTACATGAGGTAGAAGCTTCTTTCTTGAACCTCCTACCTATTTTTACCACAAAGGACCGAATGAAATCCGTCTCCAAAATTAGAAGCGCTTTCTAATAAAAGCCTTCCGATCCGTTCCGAGCCCTTGTTCAAACATTTCAGGGCAGCTTTGATGCATTTCTCGGCACGTCGCCGGCGGGATGTGAATGGAAGCGAGCCATTCGAGAGGTTCGTTGAGTGCTTTTTCAACTTTTTTTTCTCCTTGAAGATGTAGTTGCCATAAAGAGCTCAATTAATTCCAAAAAAAAAAACGAGTCACAGAAAACTCATGGCCCGCAATAAAATAATAAGTATCATGGTTCGGAGCTTCGCGAGTTTTATGATCCTTGATCCTTGAATTTTTGCAAATCGTTCTTTGCCATGACCGCTTTATCATTGGACGAATGGCAAATCAGTGCCCGAGGTGCTCGACCCGAATTGATCAATATGATAAAGGCAGCCCAAGCGATTTCCTGTGCCGATAAGGGCGTATTATCGTTTTTTGTTGCTTCGGTTTCCATTTGCAGCTTCTTTTTAAAGCTGTATAGTAATTCGCAGATTTCGATCGAACATCTCCTGGACGAGAAGGAACTTCTCGACTCGATAATGGCTAATGAGGAGGTGGAACGGTATTTGAAAGTCCAGTTTATATAAATTAATCTGTAACTTGAGACATCCCGATTCGAAGGAGACGAACTTATTGAAAAAAGCGGTGCTGCATGAAGCTTTTACTCATTTTGACATGGTCTTCAAGGATGCGAAATACGAGGAATTGAAGGTAGAGATTAGCACTTCGTTAAAATTCAAAGTTGGCATGTCATACGCACTTTTCCATTTGGCCCCCTCTCGGGAGCTTTCCAAAAATTGACCGGGAGGCGATAGAAAAAAATCGGGAAAATCGAATGTTAGTTACGCCAAAAATTGGCAGGGCAGCCAGCCCAGGCCTTCCCCGGATCGCCGCTCCCGGTGCGGAGAAATCCGAGGCTTTCCGGATGCTACCGGCTTTCTGGGGGTAAGGAGGGGTAGAATCGAGGCCAGTTGATGGTTTCCAAAGAACATCCACTGAACATTCAAATACCAAAACCGGGGGAAGGAGCGTGGACGATTCATCGAGCGCCATTTTGGGAGCAGCCGAGGGTCTCACAAGGAGTGCCCTTTTGGTGTCATCGGCAAAGGCTACGGTTTCTTTACCCCCCCCCCCCTTTGCCCGAGCATCCCAATGTCTTCGCTATTTTTTTCAGGATTTTTTTGACGCCATTCGATAGAGCATCGAAAAATATACTAGAGTTTTTATGGCAACTCAAAATATATATAAAATAGTTATAGCAAAAACAAAAACACCTCTAAAAATGGGGTTAAAAGCAAATTTTGACATTGTCGTTATTTTTAGACATTTTCGATACGCCATTCAATAGAGCATCAAAAAAATATATTAAGAGTCTTAATTTCAACCCAAAATAATGCAATATAAAATAGTTATAGCAAAAACCGGATTTCTCTATAGAACAGGAGGTGCAAAGCGACGTCAAAAAATATACTAAAAGCTTTAATTACAACCCAAAATAATGTAAACTTAAATAGCTATTGCAAAAATGGGTAGAATCCGGATAACCTGTCAAACACTAATTTAATTGTATAAATTGAAACTTCATTTTTTCGCAATTCCCGGCCAGGGATAGTAGCTGGGACCTAGGGCTACCGAATGGTTGCCTTAAAAATTTTGGGACCTTCCGGGGGGTAAAGTACCCCCCCCCCTAAAAAAATTTAATTTTTAAAAAAAAAAACCAAACCCAAAACCCCCTCTCAAACCAAAAAACCCCCCAAAAAAACCCCCCCCTATTTTTTAAAAAAAAAAAAAAAAAAAAAAAAAAAAAAAAAAAAAAAATTTTTTTTTTTTAAATTTTTTTTTAAAAAAAATTAAAATTTAAAAAAACTCTATGGGAATCGCTAACATTGACCCTCATCTCTTGACTAGGCCTAGGACGCTACACTACGTAGCAAAAACACGTATAGATCCTATTGAATGGCGCAGACAATTCAATTCAATAACCGCGTGGCGCAGACAAGCAATCCAACTAGGTTTGTAGGTTTGTTTCCGCGTGTCCCGTAGTTGTCGATACCTAGGCATAGATTGAGGTCGATTCTGGCGCTTCCTAATGCCTATAAAATGGTCTGCTAACTACTGTGCGGCTTTGAAAATGCCTTCCCGATGACGTAGAAAATGTCGCCAAAATACAACTAGATTCTAGGTCGGAATCTCGCCAGGCCGTGTCAACCTCATCGGGGACCATGTGGACTACGTTGATGGCTTCGTCCTACCTATCGTAAGTTAAAAATCCCTGATTTCTAACTGTACTTTAGGCCCTTCCCCTCTACACCGTAGCCCTTGGCCGCCCAGCCCCTCCTGGACATCGCTACACCAGAATTCACGCGTCTTACACTGGGGAATTCGTTGACCTACGCCACGATATCGACTATCATCAGAATAAGGAGCTGGTAAGTTTATATATTATATTCCTGACTTCAATGAGCCTAGGTCCCGAAATGGGCCCGATACATCCTCGGAATCTTCGCCCTCCATAAACCCGACTTTCCATTAGACGTTGTAATCCATTCCAACATCCCCGTCGGCGCCGGGTTGAGCAGTTCGGCGGCTGTGGAACTGGCGCTTTACTTTTTATTTGATCAGTTTAATAAAGGTACCGATTCACTAGACCTTTTTCGAAGGCTAATTTTTACTAGGGCAATTAGCTAGAGAGAATCTGGCCTCGATAAGCTGGCAGAGCAAAAGTATCGTATTTTTCAGTCCACCTAACCACCGAAAAAGTGGCAATGCTTTGCCAAAAAGCGGAGCACGAGTTTGCCGGAGTACCGTGCGGAATTATGGACCAATTCGTTTGCTCACTAGCCCATGCTGGTCATGCCTTGAAAATAGATTGCTCGTAAGTGAAGCTTTCGCTCATAAAAATCGACGTAATGGAGCCTAAATAAGTTTTTAAAAACAGTAATATTTTTAGAAATCTAGCCTACGACAGAATTCCGCTCGAAATCACGCGTGATGCGACATTCGTTGTGGTGGATTCACGGGTTTGAAATTTATAGAAACCCAAAGTTACCTATTCTGCAGGTAAAACATTCACTTGCCGCCGGGGAATACGCTAAAAGAAGACAGGCAGTCGAACAAACTCTACAGGCCATGTAAGACCGGCTTTTAGAGTATCAAAAATAACCATGCCAAAAAGTAATCATAAAAAATTGCAACGAGTCGTTGATTCTCGTAGAATAATGAGCCACGATGACATTTTATGACAAATTCTAGAATGGGAGCAAAATCGTGGCGAGACGTCACCGAAAAAAAGCTTGAAGAATACTATGCAGAACTCTCGCATGAGGAACGCGATTGTGGCATGCATGTTCTAGGCGAGATTCGCCGAACTGAAGAGGTTCCTTTTCATAAGATTGACCATGTTGCGTTTCTTTCTAAAACATACCTTAATTTCAGGCCGCCACCGCCCTCCTCAGCAATAATATTAAACTTTTCGGCGAGCTGATGTGGGAGAGTCACGATTCACTCAAGTAAGCCCGGAACAACAGGCTAATCCAAGAGCTTTTAGTGTAAAATGTCACCTTCCTCTTTTAGAAATCTCTACAAAGTGTCTTGCATCGAGCTGGACGAGCTCGTCGATATTGCGAAGGGTTGTGAAGGTATAATTTGACAGTCTAGGGCCAAAAACCGTTATTCTTAGACGTTTGGGGCGCCAGGATGACGGGTGGCGGGTTTGGCGGTTGCATTGTCGCGCTGGTCAAGAAATCTGGGGTCAACGGCTTTAAGAAATTGATTGAGGTAAGTATTTCGGGGAGGGGGGGGGGGGGGGGGGGGGGGGGGGGGGGGGGGGGGGGGGGGGGGGGGGGGGGTTTTTACCCTTAGAACGCCGCATGCAGCTTTCCAAAAGTCGTACGCAAAAAATCCTAAAATTTGAGACGCGCCTGCTTTTAATACGTATAACGTAATTTATTACACGTTTAAAAAACGTGGCACGTCAAAAGAATCGAGTCTACGAAAGTTAAATAGCTTAAATCAAGATCATCTATTAAAATGTTTTACCAACTTTAGGAAAAATACTCCGGGTCCCCTCACTTCTTCGACGGAATCCCGGTAAATGGCGCCGGCACCCTGGACCCGAATGCATTTTTGTAAAAACCCCGCACTTAATATATCCATTTATTTCGTATAAAATTTCCACAAAACAACGAATATAGTGATGAATGGTGAAAGAAGAAGAAGAAAAAGGAGACGGAGAGTACAGGTTGACAGAGGACCCAGAACGACACGAGGATACGCACAAACACAGGTTTTGATGATGAGGACGGGCGGAAACGGGGGAAATGACAGTCAGTCAGTTTTGCATTTACAAGAAATTATCACAAAGTCAGCATGTTGTTGTGTTTTGGGGGGCAAAAGACGAGTTAGGCCGGGGATCTTGGCGGGGCGGATGTTATACGAATTTCAAGAAGCTAAGTAGTGAGGAGGGGTGAAATTTTAGAATTTGTCGAGCGCTCTCCATGGCAGTTGGAGCCGGTTAATGGTGGACCGAGTTTCGGGGACGTTTGTAATGTGTGACTAATTTCAACAACTTTAAGCACCCACAAAAAAAACGTTAAAACATGTTCGAAACCTACGGGGGATGGGGTGATGACCAGGAAAATGCCTAGAGCTCCCAGAAAGGAGGTGGAATTGCGGATTTGATGAAGGGCGGTTGGGCATGGCTTTTACCAGCGCTTCTTGTAGTCGTCGACGGAGACGCCGCCCGGGCCGTAGGCGATCACGAGCAGCAGGCCGCCGATGACGGACATCGTTTGGAAGAAGTCGTACTTCATGAAGTCGCGGTAGAAACTGAAAATTAGCAATATAGCCTAAAAGTTGTCCATTGAAGCATAAAAATCGGTGTTTTCGTGTCATTAGTGTGAAAAATTCCATTAATCAGTCGAGAAATGCTTAGAAACGTAAAAGCAAGTATTTTCGTACTAAAACTTTTCAATTTGCCATAAAAATTTAGATATATTTCAAGTGGCAAAACAAAAAAAACTTAATTGAAATTTTGGTAAAAAAATTCAGATTTTTGTTGTTTTTAAAATCAAAACCCTTTTACGCTAAAAGAGTAAAAAAACGCTTAGCAAAACTTCCTCAATATAGCTTCGTGTTACACTACCGGTACTCCAAAATCACCGAGAAATGAAGCTACATACCGATCCGACGGCACGGTCCACCAGGAGTTCAACCACAAGTTCAGCCCGAACAACCAGATGGACAGGGTCATCGCCGAGAGCTTGGTCTTGAATCCGATCGTGACGAGGGTGATCAGCGCGAATCCGACAACAATCTCGATCACCTGAAAAAAAACGAGATTAGGTACGAAGCGTATAAAAAGCCAAAAAAGGCTCCAAATCCTCACCTGCAGGAAGGTCATCTCGAAGTGGAGCAGGGACAGGAACATGAAGATCAGGCAGACTCGTCCGGCGAGCATCAGCCAGTTCTTGGGCTAAAAAAGAGAGTATAATAAAAGCTACATTTCACGTAAAAAACAAGTCTTAAAAAGAAAAGCTGCAGCTATAATTAAAATTAATAAATACCTTGTTAGAATCTCCCATCGTCGGCACACCGGCGAAAAGGGATCGGTGCTCCTCCTGGGTCTCGGCCAGCAAAAAGAGCAGACCTCCACCGACGGCGATGTTTCTGAAACAGAATTGATTACTTTTTGTTGTATTCGAACCATTTTAATGCTTGATCTATCTCAAAGAGCGCATCTACATGCTTTTGTGGGGTTTTCCAGAGAAAGACGACTCAAATTATGACTTTCTTGTCAGCTACACTACCACGGATACGAAAAAAAGAATGAGCGTCAAAACGGTATCAAACTACTATAAAACCTTAAACTTCACCAATTTTTACCTTGCCAAAAACTTCAGGTCCCAAAGGATGTGGTAGGCGACGGTTTGGAGCAGAACGATCGTGGTGAGGATGGCGACGGCGACCCAGACCTAAAAAACACGGATTTATGCCACATTTTCAAAAGCAAAAAGCTATAAGTTTCTCTACCAACCTTCTTGCGCAGCATCACCATCGTCACCGGGATGATTTGGCCGAAAAAGTTGTAGACGACAAAGCACGTGCCCAGGAACCAGCCGCAGTTCCATGATTCCTGAAAAAATTCAATTTAGAGATTTTTAGTAACTTTTATTACATTTTGCAGCTTTTACTGCGCCTCAAAAATGTAGACGATCGTTTTCTAACCATTAAACGGTTCACCCATCTATCGACCAAATATTTGGATAGCCTTGAATCCACCCCCGGCAGGTTTGTTTGTCCCCCGAAAAACGCGTCCCAAATACGTCGACAACGGGGTAAACAAGAAAACGGGTGGCGCGGCAATGGGATGAGGGAAGGGGAACAAGGAGCACAAGCTAGCGCTTAAAAACACGAGATCTGGCACCGAGAGCTACTTTCGAGCGCCAATACGCGGGTTGAGATTTGAAAATGACAATTTACCTGCATAAATTGTCGTTGATCATCCCATTGCCACCACATGCGGATGCCGTCCTCGATGAAGGTGGAGATGAGGAAGAGGCGGGCGATGTGGGGGAGGATGTGCCGTGTTTTCCGGAGTACCTAAAGAAAAAACAGATTAGAAACACTCAGAAATTCTCCAAACTTTATTTCTACTTTAAAAAACTCACATCATCTGCCGTGTCCTCCAGATTCGAAATGAACCCCTGGTTGCCAGGAGTCCGGAACTGTTCCATGGCCTGAAATGTGAAAATGAGTGCCAAAGATTTTCAGGAAGTTCGACAAGTCAGAACGAGAACGGCGGGACGGAAAGGGCAAAAAAGTGTCTAGCGAACGGATGATGCCGGGGGAAATATGAAAGTGAGCGAGGTGGTTGTTGGAAAGCCGAAACCCGAGGAGGAGGAGGAGAAAGGGCTAACAAAGAAATCCCGGGCATAAAGCGGGGGTGGGAAATTGAATAGAGTGATGGTAGTAGGGAAATGGTCAGAGAAGTGGGGCAAATAACGCCTGGACGAAACGAAGGTCGGAATGATAAAAAAAGCTAGAAAATGCCCTAACTTCAATTTTCCCAATATTTTGGCTATGTTCTGCCTATTTTTCGCTGCTTTCCTACACAAAACCCCTATCTTTTTCGTGATTCAGGTCTCTATTTACTCCAAAAGAAGTCGTAAAGGACGAAATCTTTACACAAACCAAAATTTTGGGCCATAAAAAAATCTAGGAAAGTGTAACAATAACTTTCTGATAATAATTTCAATTCTAAAGGCCAGTATCAACCCGAAAAATGAGGATCAATAGATGCCCTTGCCATCCCATGCCCCTCGCGCACTTTTCGGCTACGGATGTAAACAGCATGTGTTGGATGTTTATCAAGCGGCACCCAATCCCCGCAACCCGCCCCCCGTCCATGGGCTACAATGGTGTAATTTGGCGGGTAAAGTAGCGTAAAATAGCAATATCCTATCCTATAAGCGAGAAAAGTATGTTTGTTTTCTGTAATGAAAATTTCTCGGCCGTCTGGCCGAATTTCCGGCTGATTTTTGGCATGGAGGTGGAGAAACACATTTGTCAGTGATGCATTTTTTTGTTTTGTGAAATTTCTTCATTTAACGATTTTACAACAAAAATAGTGAAAAATCCTTAACATTTTGCCCAAAAAGGTATGTCCGGAGGTTTTCTCGGCCGCTAAGAGGAGTTGGGCTCTGATTTTTGGACAGTGAGCGGTAAGAGCAATTCTCCCGATACTATTTTCTGGATTTTGCCAAATTCCTTAAAATAAAGTTTCTATGAGCAATTTACAGAAGGTCCTTAATAAATGGCCACAGTCCCGTGGTGTCGGGCCATAACTCGAATCCCAGATGGAATTTTGGGCTGTGATTTGGTCCACTTATGTATTCGATAGTGGGGATCACGCGATCTTATTATTTTTACAAATTTTCGGCGCATTCAGATTCAAAAGATAATTTTGTAAAGTTCCCAGAAGTACCCTCTCACGGGATGGGCGGCCCCCAAGACACAAGAGGCCTTTCCCGCCATCCCTTCCCATCTCCCCGTGGTGGAGAGGATAGGCACCCTGCCTATCAGCGCATCGTCCGGGTTCGAACCCACGCGGAATTTAACTTTTGCTTTTTGGTAGTTCAACAATAAAACATTATTCTATGCTCTCGGTGGGCGAAGTTTAGGCCTGACCCTCGCTCTAGCGCCGCAGGCCATGAAAGGTACTTGACCGAGGCTCCCGGCGCCGCAGGCCAATCCTGGAGAAAACCCAGTAACCAGCGCCGCAGGCTCAAAGATTCTAGCGGACCGCTGGCCCCGGCGCCGCGGCCAAGAAAAGCTCCTTCACGCTTTCGCGCCGCAGGCTAAATCCGGGCGAAAAATCAGTAGCTAGCGCCGCAGGCAAACGTTTCTAGCGTGAAGCTGGCTCTGGCGGCGCAGCCCAACGAATGGTTCCTTGAGTCAGGCTCTTGCACCGGCTGGCTTCAATAAAAGGAACGGAATTCATGATTCCTAGACCAGGTCCAGTGGAAAAGGGCCGCGAAGCGGTCATTTTCCACTGGTAAAGTATATAAGGGAGTTGAAAAAAAGCCAAATTCTGGCAGCCATTACGTCATGTAATTTTTCAGCAAGTTTCCAGGATTTAGGAAACGACATTGCTGGGGTCAAAAACAAAACGCGAATTGCAAAAAAAATCGAATTCTTGAGCGCCATTTAGCTTTTATTTAATTTTGGGTAATGTACGGTTTTAAGTGTATTTATTAAAATTTATCTATTACTTTCAAACGTCTAGGTTGTTAAAAATCCGCCTAAAATCATTAAACTAAACATTCCGCGTGTGCGAATACGCCAACGCGCGTGAGAAAATCCACAAAAACCGGAAAGCGTCAATGGCACCGATTCCGTGGGGAGTGCACGAGGCTCCGGAGGGGCGAGATCCGATCCGCCGGGCAAGCGGGCGGGTGGCACTGGACATCCTAGCGGACAGAGAGAAAGACAGACAATACCCGAACGGTCAGCAAAAATTGTGGACATACGGACAGACAGAAGCACCATGACGTACAGACAAGCGTGTGGACAGTCAGACAAACAGATAGATAGACACCCCGACACCCCAGGGGCATATAGAAAAAGCAAAGAGACGATCGGGGGCTCCGGCTCGCGCCCCCTTCCCCCTCTCCCGGATCCCTACCTTTTTTGCCGCAACGCCCCGGGGGCGCGTCGCGGCCAGCTGATGTGTCCCGGCCATCGGGGATGGCCCGTACTGCATCTACCAAAAAAAGACACGGAAAAGCCGGGGGAATGACGCGTGGGTTTTGTTTAGAGAGGCAAAAAGTCTATGGGATCGGGGTGTAGCTGGATCAAATTTTCACCTTGCACTCTTGTAAGGGGTTTCTAGACATAAAACGAGAAAACAACCACAACATTTTGAGAGCATCTTACACGACATAAGCGTTACTTTAATTTCGCTTTTAAATTCACCAGATCAAAGCTTATATACTAGAGAGCTATAGCTTGCCACTATCTACGCGAAATTTGACTAGCAACTGGTAAAAACTTTAAGTTAAGCGTTATCCGGTTACGACATGAAATAAGAAAAAGCTATCGGCTTGAAACAAAATAACTAAAAAGTTTAGCATATCGAGATTAAAGCATTTTACGTTCTAAGAAATTTACTAAACGTTGTTTCGCGAACTAACGAGGCCAGATCCACAAAATAAATTTTTCAAAACATTTCTAATATTAGATGAAATTGAAGCTGATCTAACTGCGTTTTATCGCCCCTGAAACACGCTGCCATTCACTGCCGGTATTGAATTTCGGCAAAAAGAAGGAGAAGAAGCAAAACGTGGCATTTTTCCGCCCGAGAACGGCACGGTCGATGTCAGACTAAAACGGGCAGCTGCAATAAAATGCGAACAAAATCATAAATTCGGGATTCCGGGTCCCCAGCGGCTTCCGCTTCAATATTGGGGCTGATGGAAAAAAGGGAACAGCGAAATTGTGATTCGATTTTGGGGTGGGAACGTACATAGTTTGGGTTTACCATGCGATTTATAGTTACGCTTTTTTACTAAAACTAGAGAAATTACGTGAAAAATCGAAAGCGCGCAAGAAGGAGGGGGATAGTTGCGTTCGTTTGGCCCCTACGGGACTTCTAGGAAGCGCCGGAAACGGACGGTTCCCGGCGGAAATGTTTGTTTTTGGCGTCGACCGCCCGAAGGGACCGTTCCGGGTCCTTCCCTCCCTCGCACGAGACCATTTTGAAAAAGCCTTATCATGTAAGAAGTTTCTGACCTTTTAAAGCTTTTAACGATGAATAAATAGTATGAAAAAGGTTAGTAGAAATCCCATTAAAAACACTTTTATAAATTTAGATTTATTGTAGTTCATATTTTTGCTTAGATATCGTTTTTTTTTGCAATAGCTTTACTGCAAGATGAATCAAATAATAAAAAAGCGTAACCGAAAATCATTAAATCTTTAACTACATCTTTTCAGGGTATACATTGTCACTAAAAATTGCCAGGAAAAAGGCAGCTGCTTAACATTTATTAAAAGAATCGGCATAATGTCATTTTTTCTTATATTTGGCAAATGCAATAGCGGGCACAAATCATTCGTCGGGGTGGTGGCACACAAATCGTGATAAGATAATCAGGTGGCTTTGCGGAATCGGCCAAAAAGCCCGCCACTCTTCTGCGGCTTGCCCTCCTCGTCAAGCGACAGCGATTCGGTGGATTTCCCCGGGGTTAGGCGTTGCTTTTCTAAAATGAAAACGTTTGAAAAAAAGCTAGAAATTTTCTTTCAAAACAAATCCGGGTTGACTTCACTTACGCTGAAGATGACTGACGTAACGTAGGTTGTTCAGAATCGTACGAAAGTGGTCGGGGTCCCGGTCGAGGAAGAACTGCAAAATCATGTTTTATGATTTTTGGGGTGCTTTTGAAAGAAGTGATGATGGCAAAAATCCAGGCGCTGCAGTAAAATTTGAGAAAATAGGTTTGTTGGTCTTTCTCTATCTCCCACCATCTCCCCCCTCTCTCTCTCTGTCTCTTTCTCTTTCCATCACTCTCTATCTCTCACTATCTCTCTCTGTCTCTTTCTATCTCCCTCCATCTCGATCTCTCTCTCTCTCTCTCTCTCTCTCTCTCTCTGTCTCAAAAAATACTTTTGAAGTTGTAACTTACAGCCCCCTCATTATCCCTCGCCGGAAGTCGATCGTCAGTCAAATCCGTCTCTAGCAATACCACAAAATGCGAGAACAACTCGTTGTTACGATCGACGAGTAGTGTACGCAGGAAAGTGTCGAATCTAGATAAAAATTATAGCTAAAAACAGTAGTACCATACCGCTGTCCACCGACATTTAGACGAATTACCTCTTCCTTTTTGTAGGAGAGCTTTGTCTTTTGCTCGACGGTCATTGTTGTCGCTACTAAAAATCAATTTTAAAGATAAACACCGAAAATTTACCAAATTCCGATTCAAACGACTCGGCTTCCAGGATTGTTTCCAGGGGTTTTGGGATGGATTGACCTAAAGAATCGGTTTACAATTTTTCTAGCTTTAGAAAAATTGGTAATTTTCAAATCTTTTCAATGACATGAAATGTAAGTTAGATGGCTTAAAATTAGGCCGTTAATAAAAAGCCGAAATTTTTTAAAGCTGAATTTAGTCTTTTAAAGCCCCCAACCTATCCTCGGAAGTGAATGCCTCTCCCTACGAGCAGCAGATGAGGCTACTGCCGCAATTATGGTTATGAAAAAGTATAGGCCCCAAGCGCCACGAAACAATATAGCGAGTTTTCGATGCGAACGGTTTGCGTCAATACTCCCACCAATACACGTCTTTGGGCTCTTTTCGCCGTTTCCTACCCCCCACCACACAGTCCCTGATTTGAATTTCTGATCAGGGGTGGAGGAAGGACGATATTTGAGTTGAAACGTTCGAAAAGGGATGGACATGGAAGCTAAGAATGGGCTGGAAGATCAAATTTTCTTGAATTTTGGCAGTTTCAGGCCCAAAAAGTACGACACGGAATCGAAAAAGGCAAATAACGGCTTGAAGCTCTTGGAAACACCTCCTTTAATGCACAGCCAAAATGTCGCGCAAAAACAACAAGCCCACGCGTCGTATTGCAACAAAATTGCTCACAAAATCGGCGCTGGGAAGGGCGCCCAAAAGGAAAAATCGTGTTTTTAAACAGGGTGACGCATTTTGGAGGCGTTTCTCGAAGCAGCTTTTCTGGCTAAAGCAAGATGGTCACTGGGCATTGAATTTTGAGATGGGGCTGGGGTGGAAGCTTAGGCTTAGGCTTAGGCTTGGCTTACAAGAGAACCACCTAAGGTCGAGGTGGGGTTTCGTTATCGGACCCAACCCATTTTGTGCAGAATTTTTTGCTGATTCCGAATCCGTTTTCAATTTTTGCCAAATAGCCCGATTTAAAAAGTTACGGCGATTTTAAGATCATATTTGAGTCCGCGGGCGGTCATCTGTCACGATGCCTAACTTTTTTGTTTTAATATGCCAATCCAGTTTAAATAGCCTATCTTGTAGAGAATTTTTTCTAAATTGAATGGTATATTTGCTTCGTCCGCTACTGCCTATCGACGATCACTTATAGGGTTGAGAAATAGCCTGTTTTTCACCATGTCCCATACAAAAAACCAAGTCCATACCAAGTATCGTCGATTTTTTCGATTTCCAAAAATTTTTAGTTCAATAGCTCATTCGAGAGAGAAAAATTTTTTGAATACGATGGCGATATTCGTTTTTGCTGAATCAGCCGGGAAACGCAAAATAAATGGCTTTGAAGTTGACAAATTTGGGAAAAAATGGAACTTTGAAGCGCTATAACTTTTTAAAACGAGCTATTTGGCAAAAATGAACAGCGGATTCGGAATCAGCGAAAAATTCTGCACAAAATTGGCTGGGTCCCATAACGAAACGCCACCTCGACCTCGGGTGGTTCCCTTGTTAGGCTTAGGCATAGGTTCAGGTTCCGCCTTCGTTAAGAGAGCCTTGAAGAAGCGCTAAAGAGAGCCCTAAAAATCGGGAAAATCGTCTACAATCAAAATATGCAAATCACCTTCGATGCGCTCGTGCCTGCGCCTCCAAATGCGGCGAATCTTCATGAAATGCTCGGGGTGAGCCTTCCTCTCGAAATGGGAGCCCCGAAATGGCCCTCGACAAAATGTTCAAAAGTGCCGCGCTCGCCGTGGGGGTGGAAGGACCGACGACGAACGGGATGACGGTTGACTATAAAAATGGACAATCGAATATATGCACGACAATGATCGAGGGCGCATAGGTATTGTAAAATTGGAAAAGCAGGGTTTGAAGGCCAGCCTTAGAAAAACGAGGCTATGAAAAAAATACCGACCCGATCAAAACGGTTTGTATAAGGATTATAAGCTATTTTTCTATATAAATCTTACTATATATAAAAAAATAGTTCCTGTGTGTGTGTGTGCATTTGAATGCGACTTCCGTCACCGTGTCCGGAGGATATCTCAAGAGGGGAAGGGCGTTAGGCTACGTATGATACGTCATTAGGTGCGTAACGTCCCCGAGATGACTGCACGCATATCAGATTTTCTAAATTATGCTATTTTCGACATTAAAATTGAGTTTTTGTTGAAAAATCCGGCAGCCTTCTTTGTTACGAAATAATTAGCATACGCCGGAAGTGGCGGAAGCCTATATATAACGTGAAAGAATGGAATTCCTCATTTTTCCCCATAGGAATTTCGAGAGACGTATGCAGAGTGAAGAATTTCATCAAGTTAGACAGGGCCAGGGTTGAAAAGTCGCGAAGCGGCTTTTCAACCCTGGTTCTGTTCTAATTAAGTTCTATACAATTTTAGGGTAAGAAGGACCCGCTAGAACCCTTTAAGCGAATGGTATGCTGCCAGAAGCCCCGAGGAAGCGTGTAAACTACACGGATTAGCTGGAATTGAGAGAGAATCCAACATGCATATAAACACCAGATGTTTCGGGCCTTCGAATGTGTTTCCCAGACCCATAAACGGATCCGCACGGGAACACACCAGAAGCCCTGGTCGCATCCGGAACTCTATGTAAACTATCTGGGAGTCGTGATCCAGATTTGGCGCACTGCCAATGGACCGGAAATGATCAGCATCGTCTACATGTAATTTCTATTGGGTTTTCGGTTCTTTTGCATTATTGGGGGGGTCGCCAGTGAGAAACCGATTTCCGGTCCGACCGATTCCGGAAATGCTTAGGAGCGTGATATTAAGTATTTTAACCGTGTTTCTAATAAAATTTTCTGTAAGATCAGAACCCCCCAGCCGGCACCAACCTTTGTATCTCGGCCCCTTTGTGCTGCGAGCTCTAAAGTATACCAAATGTTCGCCGTAGGCTATTAGTAAGACTACTTGCGTTCAGTCGAAAAAGTAGCGAAAATAAAGATAGGAAGGTAGAAAGTTGAAAAGTCGGCTGGGGGTTTCTAGACTTGAGCCAAATTTTCCTATATATTTAGTGGGTAAACGATTGAAAAACTTTCAAAAATACGAGAATTTGGGCGGAAATCGGCTATTTTGCGTAATAAAACGCTAGTTATTGTATTTTTGAGTAAAAGATGGACCGTTTTTCTTGGTGGATGACGATAAAAACATTCGGAGTGCTTATTCTATTTATCCGAAAAATTGGATACGAAAAAAATTGGGTTTTTGGCGCGGTAATGCAAAAAAAATCTGGGATTTCTGTAAGCGCGTTCATACTTAAGAAAATCGGTAATAAGAACATTGGATTTATACATGAAAATTTATTACACCATTATCGATCGAACACGAACAAAAACAGCACCACCACTCAAGCATCGGGAATGAATCAGGGACGCCGAAAATTGAATCGCTCGGACCCTAGCGTGTATGCGTCATTATTGCACTGGGGGTAATCTTGAACAAATAGGCACTTGGATGCACTATTCCAAAAATAGGCTCAAAGCAAATCGGACAGGATTTTTTGCTTCCGTTGCCCGGCGGTACCGTCTTGGATTTTTGCTAAAATTTATGGATTCAGAGCTAGCAAATTTCTGACCTCTTCTGGTGATTGGTTTAAAGGTGAAAAAACTTTGCCGTGGTGTCGTGGTCGATGTTGCTAAAAAATTGAATTTCGGCATTTTGAAAGTCAAAACTGTTTGAAAATGTGATTGGTCATTCAATTAACGCATACTTGGCAGTTCTTGATATTCCAATACGGTTTTTGTTGTCATTAACGTTGGAGGTGGCGTTGCCTTTGCTAAAAGGCTTTGATTTCCTTATTACGAAGTTATTACTTGAGCTCTGTGAAACCGGCAATGAAGTCATGGCAGCCGGCACTCTGGAAATATCTTCCACGCCGTCGATTTTTCTCGGGACGGTTTTCATCTTTGGATCCTCGGGCCGCCCCTAAAAATATTTTATTCAATTTTTTTGAGAGCTTAAGGCTGGCTTTGGATCGGGAGCTTCACGGACCTCTAGTTTCCTTGCCTCCATGACTTTCACAGGCACTTGTTGATGGTGCAACTTTTCCTCCAAATGGTGCGGTCTCTTTATGTGGTGCACCGACAGATTCTAAGCCAGAAATATACGACGAGGGCTTTCACAGGTACCTTTGATGCTTGCTGTCGTGGTCTTTCGACAGCGGTTTTCGGATTTCCTCGCGCATGACGTTCTCTCTGAAACAAGATTATATAGAGAGAGTGAGAGAGAGAGAGAGATGAGAGCGGGAAGAGATACAGAGAGATAAACCGAGATATACAGAGAGAGAAACGTCGGAAACCCGGAACATAGTCTTCCTTACCTTTCTCTCTTTTTCAATCATCCTCTTTTGCCTTAATTCCTCCTGAATTCTAGCAACACGACGATCTCGAGCCAATCGTTCCTCATTCTCCCTCGCGATTCGGGTCTGACGCTTCACAGGATCCGCCTAAACATCCAATTGCACTAAAATTTTCAGTCCGCCCACATTCTCCTCGTTGGGCGATGCAAAGGCCATCACCCGCTTCCCGTGACGATCGATTTTACAGGTCATATTCCCGACATAGTTCGATTTGATCGTAAAATCTTTATAGCCGGCCAGGGCCTCGAAATCCATCTTGAACACCTCTTCGGCTTTCTTTTGGACGAGCTGAAACGCGGAAGTGGGGGAATTTCTTTAAAGGGACCGAAATTGAAGAGTATATACCTTTGCCATTAAGCCAATGTCACACGAGTCAATAGGTAGTGGAGCAAGAGCCGCTTTCATAGTTGCTTTTAGCATTCTATTGCAGCAACGATTTTCTGAAAAATCGTTTACATTTTTAGTAGCTAAAAAGGAGATAAATTAACAGACGAGAGTGTGAAGCGGTATTGACTACAAAATAACCTTACGAAATTCATCAAATTCGCATTGTTCCTCCTCGAGAACTACAGCTGGCGGAGGTGGAGGATAAAGCGGGACAAGGGGCACCTAGGCCCGAGATTAAAACTATTATATGAATCGCATTACAAAAATTTTAAGTCGAAAAATGGGATTTCAAACGACCTACCTGTGGTTGGGGCCCATAAACAATAATTGGATCTGATGGATCCGATGGGGTTGGATTCAAAACGATAGGTCCAGTCCTTGCATCTAGCTAAACACATTTTAGAAAATCATTTAGCGTTTTCTGAAGCCCGTATTACAGCACTTACCCGCGAAAAAGCTCCCGGCTGCACATTCTTCACTTTCGATTGGCCAAAGAAAAATGGCGACTGCCCATCCCCCAGCATTTGCTGCATAAAAGGCGCCATCGCCCTCTCGTACATTTTTTGCAGCTTCTTGTAGGCGCCTTTGGGGACTTGGAATTCTGGGGGTGCGGTGGCATGAGTGTGACGTAGTGCAACGTACCATTAAAATTCATTTGTCCTGGGAATTGGCCACCACTCGAAAATCCATTGCCCTGGAGTCCGAATGGGTCGTCGTCGGAGTTGTCTGTTTGTCGGCGATGTTCGTGTTTTGGGTTTTTGGCATCGGCGAGTAAAATTACGAATAGGGCCGATGAAATTAGGTTTAATAACCGGAGGTTGCGCATCGGAATGACCTGAAACAAAATTATAACATGGCTAAGGCAAAAAAACGGACGATTTGGGATGTTGTAACGCTTTAAACGCTCAAAGTTGCTCTAAAATTCCGTATTTCATTCTTAAAAAGCAATCAAATATACGTAAAATTACGTTTTGCTTGAAAAGACAATCAAAAGCGAGTTTTGGATGACTTCCGCGACTAAGAAAGCCCAAAATCTCCACGATCACCCTCGGAAAAAGCGCCCTCCCAATAGACAAAAAATGACCATTGCCATTCCGAATCGAGGCAAGTGCTGGAAAAACGGTTTTCCAGCCCGGGACGCGCTTCACCGTTTTTTCGAGCGTGTTGATGTTGCATGGAAGCCCCCGGGGGGAACACACTTCTCTGCCAAAACTGAAAGTTCTCCCCCCTTCTTTTGGGCTGTGTGGATTTGTGGCAGCCGGGGGAGATGAGCAATTAGACGAGATGTTAGAGGGCTGCACTGTGATGTGATTTGTTTTATGAATGGCTAATGGCATTTGGAAGTTTCGAGGAAGGGGAGTGGTTTGTTCCGGGAGTTTTTTTGTGCGAAGATCAGGCGGAGGCAGGGATGAAGACGGACCGGAGGTTGGGAAGGGACGGCCAGAAAAGTCGAAAATTTGTGAGATATCACGCGCGCTATTAATGCCTAAGTGCCTAGAGATCTAATAGCGATTCTAATTCATAACTACGTTTTTGTTTGGTTAGTTTTGATATATTTTTATTAAACGACTCTTTTCTCACTTTTTCTGGCTAAACAGCACGATGCCTTCACTTTCTCCTACCTGAAACCCGCCCTACAAGTAATCCCAACCCCGTCTCGGCTTATTCCCGCCGTCTGTAAAGCCATCCAGCACCCCCGCAAAGCGCTTGGCGCGCATCTCCCCCCTCGTGTATCGCGTGGCTGGCGTGTGCCGGAACCGGCTCGCCGCCTCTCGGCTTTGACTCAAATCCCTCCATCCTCCACAAATCCCCCGAATCTGTATTCGATTTTCGCCTCCGGCCATCGACTTTCTGACTTTTGTTGAGGTGCCAGCGTTTGAATAAGGGAAAGGTGGTCCATTTCAATGTGCATAGCTGCCAAAATGATCCGAAGGGCTTAAGCCAAAGATCTGGTTTCGACGGCCTGGGGGGATTTCGGCGGCTTCTCCCTTTTATGCGTCGAGGGCGGAGTTTCACTTCCCTAGTTCGAACTCGAATTTCAGAAATTTCTGGAATTCGGTGCATTTTCACGTTTTTCACTTTGTCGTTTCTCCACTCGAACTTGTGCCCCAGTTTGCTTTTTATCGATTTTTCTGATTGAATTTCCATGCGGAATTTCAAAAACCTCAAAATTTAAGGAATTGCCCTGCTAACTACGTCGTTTTCGATGCTCCCTCTAATTCTGCTATTCATATTCCTACCACAATTATATGCCCAATCCCTCGATCTAAAGCTCCATCGACATCAAGGTTGCGCACTAAAGAAAGGTCCTTCGCCAAATTTTTGGCCATTGTTGGTCCCAATTTTAGGCGCTCTCTGGAATCGAAAACTCGAATTTCAAGGCGGGCAGGGCACCAAGGGGGCCCAACTAATTAATCTGGAGCAAAAAGGGTTGCTATTCGATTCAGGTTGGTGAGGCTTCAAGCATAAAAAAATAGGCAATTAGGGCCAAGTCAACGTTCATGAGGACATTACGGAAAATCTGTTAATATACCTATCGGTTTCGACGACTGGGGATACGAGCAAACCACCGGAGGTTTGTCGAGATGCCGGGGAGGATGGATGTGGAGGGATTGGATCATGGTAGGTTTTTCGGGGACCTAGAGCAGTTTTTATCTAATACCGTTAAGTGCGGCGTTTTCCACATGACATCATAACCTACCTTTTCAGCCTCTACTGTCGCCCCTGTGAATCCCTTGGCACACTTTCCGAAATACTGGGTGCCGAGCTAGTGGTCGACGGCAAAATCATGGGCTGCGAGCCGCTAAAGGTTCACCAATCCCGCGTTCAACCCCATTTCCAGAAAGGCCACTATGAGGATGTGGAGCTACGCTTTTGTCTGCCGGATATTAAGCGAATTATGGAGTGGCAAGGGATTTCGGAATCTGCTTTGGAAAGGATCCTGGCCACTTCTGGGGTGGTAAGTATGCTTTTTAGCACCAACTCCATTGAATTATATTCGCGAAACTGTTTTTAATTTACTACGATCGATCACATAATCGAATCATTCCTTTTTAGGATGCTTCCGGTGCTCCAAAACTTTCGCTATTCGTGACCGTCTATGTTTTCGACAAGAATGTGACTTCACTACTACAGTAAGCGTCGAAACTCCCATGTTTTGATGTATTTTCTTAGATCCCAGCGTCGTCTCGAGGCCAAAATTCGCGAGCAAAAGCACCTAGCTTTTGACGATCAACTGGAAAGCAAGACCTATTGGAATCTGCCCTTCAATCAAGTGATCAAGCGTCAGGCCGGATACGTTGGATGCCATAAACTATATGGCACCGTCACGCTACATCCTTAAATTTCGAAAAGTATCGATAAACTATCATCCAAGAATTGATGGACGATTTATTCGGGTTGATTATATCCATTATCTCATGTGATAAATGTTTCGACTTCAGTACTTTTTCATGCAGCGACTTACGCCCATAAAAAGTTGTATTTTGCCCTCTTGCCCACCATCTACGTCAACCCAACCCTGGGGCGGTCACCGTGAGGTCGAGCGATCCCGGTCTGGGCAAAGGCGCGAAACTGCCATTGTGGCTTCTCGATTTCCATTTTCCCCACCTTCTCCCACCTATCTTCTCTTTTCCTATTTTCTTCGATTCCGCTTCACGCCCCCGCGGCGGGTTGAGCGTTTTGTTGGCGGGTTGGTCTCGCCCTATTATTCTTGAGCGTTTTCGCCCCGCGTCTACGGTTTTGGGGCTTAGGGGCGCTCGATTCGGTTCCAGCGTTTTGAATAAGGGAGTGTCTAGACTGGGATGCGCTCAAAAAAACTGAACCTTTCATTCTAGCACCTTCTCGAGCTCTCCTACCCCTCAACCTTACTTCTTCGCTTTGCAACGCAAGGGTGTTTATTGGCCCTTTGAGTCTTATAAAACGTAGCTTACATCCTTCAAAATAAAGCTAGGAACTCCTTAATACTTCCCTGGTATCCCATTACCCCTCCTGAACTTTTCCCCCAAAAAGCAAAAAGTTGGGCTCAGCCGGGGATTGAACCCGGGACCTCTCGCACCCAAAGCGAGAATCATACCACTAGACCACTAAGCCGCGAGAGGGGGGCGCTGCGTGTGGGCTATGAGGGGCGATGCGCCCCACAGGCGGTTTGGGAACACACCCCCGTCTCCGCCCCCCAAACACGAACCCCCGCAGGTGAACAAACAAATATTTAGGCGTTAAAATTAATGGAATTTTGCTGATATTTTTGCTATGTCTTTCCTGATGTTTCGCCAAAAAATGTTCATCTTTTCCTTTTTCCAGCTCCAAGAACGATCTCAAAATGCGCGCAATTATAATGGGCTGTTCGGTTCTTGCCTCCATAATTTATGCAGTCGAAATTGGAGATGACCTTTCCTTTAATTTGGATTTAATTAAGCATCAGCCGTGTGGTCACAGCTCTAGTAAGTCAAATGTTAAAGTGCCTGTGATTTAAAAAAATCTAGAAGCAAAATGGACGAAGAAATTGGAGTTTGAAAGCGGAAACGGGCGAAAAGGGCCAAAGTTGGAAAAGGTATGTAGCCACGAAATTTGAAACTGAAATTAACTCGTAGCTAACTCTAAGTAAATCTATTTAGTTAGAAGGCGGAGGTAATTGCTATGCGGTTGGTGGCCAAGTGAAGGTCCTTGAGGTAAGTAAGCCGGTTTTCTGCTTTTTTTTCCATGCCTCGACCAACTTATCTGATTAAAAATTCATAGCAGTGCTTTACAGTACGTTAAATACAATGTCAATCAATTTTTGAAAATACTATAACTTTTTTAGGAATTTTCCGGTGATTTCTCCATCTATCTGGAAATCCGAAACTCGGCCAACAAGCGAGCCGTCCCCGAGAGCTGCCAAAATCAGGGTGCTGATGGCTGTGGGGGATTTGGATCTTGGTAAGACTTATTTATTAGCATACCCTAGAAATACAAAATAAAAAATTTTAAACCGCAAATCCCTAAATTCAGCCTCTACTGCCACGCCTGCCAAGCCTTCAGCGATGTCCAAGGTGTCCGAGCGGAGCTTCAGTTGGATGGAAAGGCTATGAAGTGTTCGGTAGGCTTTTCAAAAGCTCGAAAGACCAAAAAAACTAGACAAAAAACATTCATTTTAGGACGGCCTTAAAAAAGGCGTCTACGAGAACCTTCGCCTCGTCTTCTGCCTCCCAAAAATTGACGAGATTCTGAAGTCCCAGGGGCTCAACCAGGATCAATTTTTGCAGCTGTTGGGCAGCGAGGTATTTTTAAAGGTATAAAAAGTCATGTACCAAAATTCAAATTTTTAGTCCTTCAAAAAAAAATTCAAATTATTATTTATTTTTTTTTTTTTAAAAATAAAAAAAAAAATTTTTTTTTTTTTTTAAAAAAAAATTTTATTTTTTTTTTGGTTTTGGATTCGCGGGCGATTTTTTGGGGGGGTCTTTTCGGGGGGTTTTTGGGGGGGGTTCGCGTGTTCGGGGGTTCGGGGTGCCGGGGTAGTGACTTTCGGGGTAGGCCTTCGGGTAGTGACCGACGCCTTTAAAGCCAAAAAGTATGCGTTATTTTTGGATGGCGGTCCTCCCCCCGAGCAATGGGAATTTTTGCGACCGTCTACGTCTTTGACTCGGACGTCTCGAAGCAGATGCAAACGCAGCAGAGGATCGAGTCAGTCTATAAGAAGACGAAGAAGAGCTTCTTCAAGGTGGGTTTTTTTCGATTTAGTATGGCATTTATAGTATTTCTGGGAACAAAATAATTTATTTAGGACGAGCCCCTCCCCGCCGACGTCTATTGGAGCTTGCCGTTTAACAAGATGATCAAGGAGCAGAGCACCTATGTGGCCTGCCACAAGATTTATGGAAATATTAAAATTAACAAGTAATTTTGTGTATTTTAATGTACCATCTATTGGTTAGGTTGGTTCTATTGTCTGTACATAACAGATTTAATAAATACTTTTTTGACGATATTTTTTGAATTATGGGTGCACTAATTTTTAAGTTTAGAGGGTTATTGATAAAGGGTTTCCAGGTGATCTTCTCTGCATTTTCCTAATTTGCATATTTAGACCTAATGATCAAATCTTTAAAGCTCTATTTTATGTTATTAACCAAAATATGTATTGTGTAAAGAAATTTATTCCAAAAGCCGGAAGCGACTAGCTGCACAATTTTTTTCTTGAATAGCGAGATGCATATTAGGGATCAGCCGAATTGCAATCTTGAATTTCTAGAACGCGATAAAATGGTATCTGCAAAAGTAAGTACGGTATCCGGGAGCACAGAGCAAAACAGGGTACAAAATCGGTTCGTTCGTAGGCCTTTTCAAAGCCAAGTAAAATTTCAAAAGCCGATTTTCCGGAAAAAAATGAAGAACGGGCAGTATCAAATTTGGGTCAATGGTTATAGGAATTTGTGAACAGGGGATTTCCCTAGAATAACTAGTTGTAGGTGCGGACAATTTTGACGGAGCGGACGGACTCGGAACGGGATTCGGATCTGGGCGGAAGATCCTCAGTGCGTTTCAGGATGCCGGTGGAGGTGGAGGCGGGTGAGTCGACGCGGTATCCACCTAGAAATTTGACGTAAATTACCGTCTAAAAAGTCATTAAAATAATTACATTGTTGTAGATGAAACCCAGAAAGTTAGGCAGATTTTAGATACCAAACAAAAAACCAAAAAGAAAATTTTCAGGGCTCGATTTAGCGAAAGATCCTTGAAATACTATAGAGTTTGAATAATAATTTAACTAAATAGTTCGCGAACCAAGATAGAGAAATTAACATGCAACAGAGGTGGATAAAGCCATGCAAGTTGAGCGCGTAATTCTAACGTAAAAAGCGCACTTCTCCGGGCTACACGACCATCCTATGGACGCATGAAGCGGGGTGGCTGGCCGGGCTTCCATTCCGGGAGAATGCCGAGGTCTCGCTCCGAGTGCTCATTCGCGAAGTGCACAGAGCGGGGAGAAGCTAGGATAGCACACGATAGGGTGGTGGTACGGTATGGTTTATGCAAATTTCGGAAAAAACCTGCGCCGAAGATGTTTTGTGCTTTCCGTTCTCCTATCATGCCGTTTGTATGGTTTACAAAAAGCTTTTTGCATGGTAAGACGCGTGAAAATCCATGCTTTTACATGCAGTGAAGCGAATTTGGGCGTAATTAAAAGGATATAAAATGGGAATTTTTCGCTTACTTTTATATATTATACGGAATGCTGATTATTTTTAGAATTATCATTATTGTTCGATGTTTTCGAGGTCTTAAACACAAATTTTTGAGAGAGTTGTAGGCAACCCTTTATCGATTTTTAATGCGTCGTTTTGTTAATTTTCCTTACCATTTCGAGAGCTGCTGCTATCGTGGTGGTACCCATTCTGGTATCCGCCCTGGTATCCGCTCTGATACGAAGACTCGTGGCGCTGCGATTCGGCCGCTCCGCGAGATGCCGAATGCGAACGGAATCCTAAAAACCGATCTATTATCACATCTATTCCAGATTAGTATAAACACTCCGAATTGTTAGTTATATAAACTTTCATTGTGTTCAGGGGCTCAAAGTGAAAATCCGGGAAGAATTCGCGTATTTTTAAGTTTTTGAAGCATTGGGAAGTTTGGCCTTGCCGTCAAACCTTTCTCAAATTTTTCGCGGGTCTCCTCGAAGGCCTTTCGGCCTGGCGACATTTGCTCGCGCGACTCTGAGGGTGAGGTTTTTGACCCGGGAACGGAGAGGTAAATTTGTTAATCCGTTTAAGTTAGCTGGTCAATTTTCAAGGTTAGCGCGAGAGAGGACGAAAGAGAGAGAGATAGCGAGATAAAGTGAGAGAGAAAAAGAGAGAGATAGCGGGAGAGAGAGCGAGAAACAGAGACAGACCGGAGAAATTTTTGAGGAATTGCATACCATTCGTGTCGAAGGAGGTGCGGCGGGCGCCGCCGCCATTAGTGTAGGCGCGGTTCTCGTTGGAGGCGGTGACCTGGAATAGCGAATCAATATTGAAAAGGCATTAGACGATAGATAGTTAATGTGAGCTGCTAAAAACAAACACCTACCTGATGCGGGCTCAAATTGTTGCGACTCTCATGGCGATAATAGCTCTCAGAGTGTTGGTTTCCGGCGGCACGGTCAGCCAGTTCAGCATCACGGTACAGGACTGTAACAATAACCGTACACACTATGAAATTCCCGTTTAGTATACGACGCGTTCGCTACGCAGGCTATAAAAAATCACCAAAGAAAGACTTACGCGAATCACCATACTGACGGTTAGCCACCCCTTCACGATGGATCGGGACCTCAACCGTGCGGCCTCCATAGCCACCGCTACCGCCGTTATACTCCTGACGCGACGACGAGCGGTACTCATTACGGTAGCGATCCTCCTCGTGATGACGCCCAAGGTGTGAACTAGTGTCAATTTGCACTGGAGAGTAGTTCCGGGCGCCAGAAGACGGGGAGAGACCGTCTGAAAATAGCCACGATTTTTAGAACCTAAATCAATTTTTCTTGGCAGTCTCCAGAGACAGCGTAGAAGTGTTGGAAAGACTAACTACTGAATCCCGAGTCGTGGCGCGAGCGGCTGGTGCTGCGATACTTACTCGATCCCTCGATCGGGACCAGGCGTTCGCGGCCGGTCAGGGCTTGGGGGCGCTTGGCGGCCTCGACGGTGAGTCGGCCCTAAAAATATTATAATTCAACAGCTTTATAAAATATTCGGCGAATTCAGAGAGCACGTGGTTCGAAGGTTCAGAGGAGCCTCGCGTAGTCCACCTTGCACAACGCGATTCTCCACTGTACTTTCCGAATACGTGCGCTTTTGATAGGAACCTTGCGCAGTCCACATTGAGCAACGCGATTCTTCTCTGTACTTTCCAAATCTGTGCGATTTTGAGGTTTTAGAGCATCCTTTTCGACCCACCCTGAATCAATATTGCTGCTGATCTCCTGCGGGTCAATGTCGTTGGGCAGTTGGTATTTCCGAACGAAATACATCTTCGTGAAGTTGTCACGGTCTCGTGCCTCTTCATGACGGCCCTCGACGAGGAGAGTATCATCCAGCGTTTTTACCTGAAAGCCGAATGGAAGTTAGAGGTTTCGACTTTGAAAGTTACCTGGATCTCCTCCGGTCTGAACTGGTAGCAGTCGATGGCCACCGCGAAGCGGCGATCATCATTCGTGATCGAGGAGTTGACATCGATGCCTTCCTAAATAGTAATTTTTGCGTAAGCTATGGTTTTGCAAAACGTCTATGGTCTCCTAGCGTACTTACCTTGAAAAGCGGCTGCGCCCAGTTAGGGTACAGGTCCTTCCAAAATGGATCCTGGCGCCAGTTGTTGTCTAGACGGTCGAGATGGGAGGTGAACTACAAAAAAGTAGGCTATATAGCGTACTATATGCTTTTTGGTTGTGTGGTACATTTTTTCTTACACTTTTCGACGTCCTGGGCCTCTCCAGATCACTAGAATCAAAGTAGCGCAAGGTCATCCAATGGGGTGCGACAATTTTTTTTGGGGTGAGCTCTGAATTTCGGAGAACCAGTTCTTATCAAGGATCGAAGACGGACAGAATTTTGGGTTGAATTGAATGTACAAAAAAGCGGGCAAAAAGATTTGATACGGGTGGGCAGCGTGGGCAAATATTCTGCGAATAGCCCTGTAAAGGAGAAGTGTGGGGGGAGGGGTGAGTCGGACAGCGAATTTTGACATTGGGAGCGTGGGTATTTTCGGAAAAGGTATCCGATGAGGTCATGAAAATGCCAAAAGAAAAATATGGGCGATTTAAGGGGAAAAAAAGAAGAAAAAAAAACTCCAATCAATGATTTATAAACCGCACACCGCACCACCAGACCCCGCTATTCCATTGCGTACTGAAACAAGCGCATTCACCGCTGCGTGGTAGCGCGTGCGTTACGTGTCGCGGCGCGGACAAACGATATTAAATAAATAGCTAATAAAAGGTCTAGATAATGTTTGGCAGCCCCTTTATGGTTCTAAATTCATTAGGGAAGAAATGTCAAAAATGGTATAGAAAAGAAGTATAGCTTAAAAAATAGACGAAAGCGCTATTCTGAAGTCACCCCACAAATTGGCCGCTTGCCAACGCCCTTTCGAGCCCGTTTTCCGGATGAATAATCGCCCGGAAAACCAGCTGAAACTTGGCCAAAAACCCCGGATGAAATATGGAACTGGGATGGGTATAGAGAGGCGAGGGGATGATTACTCACCTGGGCGAGCACACGTCGACGCGTGAAAGTGGATGAGACCCCCATTCAAATAGGCAGAAGGATAGACAGACAGAAATACAGAAGGATGGACAGACAGACAGACAGAGAAAAAGAAATACGGCACTTCGGGAATACCGTCGAAACGAGTGGACACAACCTTAGGTGGCGAGCGGGGGCGAAAAGGGCGAAAGTTTTAGGGGGATTTCGAGAGGGAAATGGAAAGACAAAACAACACATACGGATTTTTACAACAAAATAATACAACAAAAGGGAGGATTTTTCGCTAAAAACACGAAAAATTACGTATATCTTTTTGGAACATCGTTAAGTTCCTTTCTCTTTGCATTTTTTTGAGTAGGGCAAGCTAGCAGAGAACATTTAGCAGGCGACAATACTTCTATCAACAATTAAATAAAGGAAGACACTCGACAAAAATAATGAAAGAGCATAGATTAAAACCAATCCGTCACCAGGAATTTTATGGAATGCCCCGGCGCCACACACCCCGGATGACCTTGTTTCCCCGCATACAATAAAACCGGTAAACAACCGGAAAATCGTTGGGCTGATTGACAGATAATGGCAGGTTACTCGGTGGGATGTTTTTTTCGGGCTTAACGCTAAATACGATACCTTTGGCATGACGGCGTCCATCCTCGGCCAGTCCCTCGGCCAATCCTCGAGGCGCTCGTTGTCGCGGAAGAACTAAAAAAGGGATTAAGGATTGAATAATAATAGCAATAGTTAATCCCATAAAAATCAGAATACTAAAGTATTATAACTATCTTCATAAAAGAGATGCCCAAATTTTAATGGCATTCTTGTTGATGTAAATGGCTCGAGGTATTCATCGGAATTAGCGTAAAACGTCTATATACTACTTTTCAGGTATAATTAGGGTATTTAATGAGAAACTCTGGATCCGGAATCCGTATTGGGCGCCCCCGGGGGGTGTCGATTATTGAGCAAATGCGACAAAAAGCAATCGCCCGAATACGGGGGCCGGGTGAGCACGAGCACAAGAGTGACCAGACTAGTTTCCCTGAAAAGGCTATATGCACCCAGCCAGCCACTACCACACTCACTCACTCACACCCTCAAAAGCACGACCACACAAATGCGGACAGTTGCTCGACATATTTTGTCGGGGTGGAGAGTTTCGAATTTTGTAAAAAATATCAAAACGGTCATTAGAAACCTAAAAAATCAGCATACATTTTTGTTTTATTTTTCAACAGCTTAAAAGTATATAGACATGCTTAGCTGACTTAAAACCAAGAACAACTTAACGGGAACCCCCCACCAAACTCAACCCTCAAAAAACTAAAAAACTACCTCAAGTACCACCCCCAAAAGAGGCATAATCCGCCTTCTCCCGGCCCATCGCCCTACCCCCCACCCAACCCCAAGAAAATCCTTGAGCACCTCGAGTTTTCGACTTTTCTCGGCAATTTTCGGCGTCTGGCCCGGGAATGGGGAATCGAGAAGCAGGTCACAAAATATTGGCGTTGCTAGTTGGGTACCAGAGAAAACTAAATAAGAAAATGAGGACGGTTGGAAGACCTACGGTTGGAAGATTGTATTAGACTGTTCTCGGTCGCAAAAGGTGACCAACTACCAGCAACGAGCCTGATTTTATGGGTCCGGGCGCTCGAAATTTGCGTTTTTCTATTTGTGGTCGATTTGAAGTGACCGCCAAGAGTTTCTGCGCTACAGAAATATTTCTAGGATCGACTGTGCAAATATTTAAAACTTTCCCCACAACATCTGACTCAGGGCGTGGAATCAAAAATTAAGAAACGCGAAAGCAATGCTTAGTCTCAGGTATAGGCTTGGGCTTAGGCTTAGTCTTAGGCTTGGGCTAGGCTTGGGCTTGGAGTGGGCTTAGGCTGAGGCTTAGGTTTAGGGTTACGAAAATGCTATCGTTCCCTAAGGTTCTACTCACCTGAACATACTCTTCCATACTCCGATCAGCCTGATAGGAACGTAGCATATCGTAAAATTCGAGAGTGTGCCCGGCAATATTTCCGCCCTACACCTAGCCGACCCGAATTCCGTATCAAAACCATGTTCTCGTGGAGGTGGGGGGCTATTTTGTGGATGAAAAGCGTCGCGCAACCTGACTCACAGACAAAACAAACTGAAAATAGGAGGCGGGTGGAGGGGTAGATGGGGAGAAGCTGAAGGCAATCTAGCTAGTTTTACGGTATGCTTATTATACGGGCAGGTCCTCATAGGTATCGTAAAGTTTATGAGTTTAGCTTAGAGCGATATTTAACTTTTCTAGGCCATTTTAAGGCGTTGTTGAAGGCAGGTATAGTAAAAACAACTTACTCGGCTCATCATCTCGCGCGGTCTCGGCCAGTCCCTAGGCCAGTCCTCCATCCGGTCGAGCCAGTCATCACGAGCCCACAGCGAGTCCCTAAAATTGGATAAATTTCAGTTTGTCAGTAGTAAAGGGCGCATTTTAGCACACAGGGACTCCTCATGCTCATGCATTTTTACAACGTCAAATTACCATGCTTTCGATCTTTAAAACAAGGGTATTCAGATTCAGGTTTGGGCTAAACTTTGCCAAATTAATTCCAAAAATTGGATATTTTAATTTATTAATATTCTTGTTTATTTTGCTATTAGTGGAGTAGAGGTTTTGATTTTTTTAAATAGTGGAAAGATCGAGTTTTTTTAAGGGGGTGATTTTTTAAGTGTTCTGGGGACGAACTCGAATTTTTTTGACATGAGGATGCATGCAAATTACAATCAACAACACTTGACAACACCCCAAAAACAATCTTTACCAATAATCATCGTCAAAGAGGCTCGGTCGACTCGGGCCCTCCCTTGAAGAATGAATATTTCGTGTCATTTCGAGGTTCAGAATAAAATCCCAGATTTCTAAGATGTTTTTCGAATAAAAAGTCCTCCGAGGCGTGTGAGAAACGCTAAAAGCTAACGGAAATCGATGTGAAGCCGATGTGCATGCGGGCCGAAAAAGTTTTGGCGGGCGATATATTTTCGAGCGCGCCGAAGAGAGCCAGCCGTTTTTTGTGCCGTTTGCCGGGACGGGCTGAATAAACGGGCGCTCCGAATATTGACTATTTGGTGGGTAGAGGGGGTGGGAAAGCTAGATGCCTTTAAATGGCCTCATCATCCCGTCATAACAATGCGAAAAATGGGGCGTGTAGACTAAACAATAAAGAATAGAATTTGGGGTGGAAAAGGCAAAAAAAGGTCCATACGCCGTAAGAGTAAGGAGTGGAAAAGTATGTATTAAAAATTGTCAAAACCTCAAATATGATAAATGAAATTACTAGGGACTTTCTTCGCATTTAAGCGATATAAAACCTCTTATTATGATAAAATGAATAGGAATACGCAGTTCTTAAAGATTTATACAGAAAATGTGACTAAACTTTACTTTACCCGGCCCACCCCCCCAGTCGGAGTTTTTGGCTATAACTTTTTTTATTTTACATTATCGTAGGCTAAAATCAAAATTGTTAGTATATTTTTTGACGCTCCATCGAATGGCGTTGCAAAAATCCCGACAGAGATAGCAAAAATACCAAAAACTTTGGGACCCTTCGGCTGTGGGGGGGGGTAACGTCAAGTCTTACCGAAAATGTCGACCAACCAAACTTTCTATAACATTCTGTCATACCTGTGGTCACATTAATTTTGGAACTATCATAAAATCAACAATATAAAAATTATGAAAAAATAGAAAATCTACCGTACCTGTGCCTCGGGAACAAGCTGTGATTGTTGTCAAACCACGAGTCTCGGAAAGCGACTGCCATCTCGTCGTCCTGGGGTTTGGGTTTGGAAGAGGATTCGCTAAAAGTTGGAACAATTAACGTACTACGACACAAAAAGGAACCAGTAAAGACATAGCATAGGGTAGAAGTAGCAGCATAGAGGGTAGAAGGTGACAAAAAATGGGAAAACAAGCAGCTTTTCGAACCTAAGCGCTCGGAATGACTTCCTGGAGATGGAGCGCCGTAGGATGCTTACCGTACCCTCCATTTCTACAGGTGAATTTTGAGGTGTATGGGGGGTGGTCCCGAAGGGGAAAATGATTGCTCGGCCCCCCACCCACCCACACCTTAAATAGAGACCTTTTAGGTTTTGCCTGCTGCACGGCGCGTGATTCATAGCCGGGTTGGCGGGGGGTGAAAAGATTTTCGCAGCGTTCGGGAAATTTTCCTGCGCTTGTTGAAAATTGAAAAAAAACGGGGTTTGGAAAAATGAGTGGAGGGCTTGAAATTTTGTGTGTGGGTTGAATGACTAGGTCGTGATATTTATCAGAAAATTGCTTGCGAAGCGTATTTTGAAATAATAATAACATGGCCTACCGACCGGGATCAAAATCCCAACAGACAAATCATAATACCGCTTGCCAAAATGCCGACAGCCAAAATTCCGAGGCTTTCCTGACCTATGTCACCATTTTTACAGCTATTTTGCGCGTCGGAATTATGGATGTCGGGATTTTGACCTGTCGAGGTGCCGGCTGTCGGGATTTTGGCGGTTTCCGGGTCTTAGAGTGTTAAAAAAAATGAAAATTGATAACCTGAAACGACAAGATAAAAGTAAAAATTGCGTATATTCAGAGCGTTTAAGTTTGGCGTGATTTTACTTAATTTGTAATATTTTCCTGTTTAATAGTTTAATTGTTTTAATAATTTTTATCTTTAATAGGTTCTTCTTCAAGTTTCAAAAATTCGCCGCACTATCTATTTTTAAATCAAGAGAGCCACGCCCTTGTTTCCCTTTGCCCAAAAAAGTTTCAAGCAATTTTCGAATTTCGAAAAGCAATAAATTTCGGAGGGGCCGTTGGAGGGGCAAAAGTGCCGCCGGAGCCAATCTCATCATTTCGGGCAGACCGGGCAGCGGTTTTTGCAACGTTGCGAAACTGCTGGGCCTCGAGAAAGTCTCGTAGAACCGGTTTTGTGTCGCAGCCGACATTAAACAATTTTAGGCTTCGAAACAACAACGTTTCCAACGTAGAATATTCGTAAATCTGTTCTAGCATCGAAAAAGAGGTGAAAATAACTAGAAAACGTTCGGGAAGCGTAACGGAATGATGGAATGTTTGTGTCTAAAAATAACCAGACTCCTCAAGCGAAAAGCCGATTACCAGGCCAAACCCTAGCTATTCTAGGCCCAAAACTTGAGTACGCGAGTATTGCCGTGGAAGCACCGCAATGTCAGTCCTTCGGCTTACCCAGGGCGGGGCTGACGGCGGAACGTTTCCGTCTTTTCCCCCTAAAAACAACCTAATTCGCCCGGTCGTCCCGGCGTAAAGGGGTTTTGTAAGGAATTCGAAGGTTAGCCATGGAGGTGGTCGGGCAACGGGGTAAACATCGCATTTTAAGGTTGAAGGGCATGTGAGTATTTTGGAAGGAAGTGGAACGTTCGAGAAATAATGATTGTCAGCTGGTTTTACGAAGTTGTAGTTTTTAGGAGCGAAATATGTGTGTAAAATTAGCAAAATTTACAAAAATTATTTTATCAGCAGCTTTAGATCCAAAAAACTAACAAAAGACATATTATTGCAATTTCTGAGTCTATACTAGCCTTTCAAAACTGCAGTTTCAAGGGTTGGGACCCCAATTATAACGAAACTTGCATAAATTACAAAACGTGGATATTTTTAAGGGGCCTTAAGAAGCAAAATTCTGTTTTTAACGGCCCCCGCGTTAATAAAAATAGCATAAATGCAAATTAGAGAATTACAGCATACGTATTACACGTTTTTAACCTGCTCAATCGAGAAATATACCCCAAAACCTTCAAAATGACAAGAAAGTGTCGAATTCTGATTCGACCTGGCAAAAATCTGACAAACCCCTCGACTTTCCCACTTTTTCTACCCAAATCGGTGCGTGGGCAGCCAGTGAACCTCTCGAAATCGCCCTAATCCACCACTCGAACGGGCCCAGCAAAAACGAAAAACCCGTGTTTGTTTGAAAATCTGCCAGTCAGTCAGCCAGTGAGATGCAGAATTTTTGAGAGCTCTCCCCACACACAGCGCTATGACTACTACGCACAACTCCTCATGCCAACCAACTCACCACAGTTCTTTTCTGACTCCATTTCTTTTCTTTTCTTCGTGTTTCGCTGGCTGACCACCTGAATGGGTGGCCCGGGCATAAATACGAAATGTTTACGCAGTTCCCCTCCACTGCCCCGCTTGGGTTTCCTTTCGGCTCCTTTCTACAGCCAAAAAAGCCGGCCACAGTTCGCCGCAATGGCAATGGCAAATAGTGGAAAATGGGAAGGGAAGGAGGGGCAGGCAAATGTCAGTGATTTTTGGGTGCTTTCGACGAGGTGGGTTGTCGAAGGATTACTGTCTGGGAATTCGCAAAAATTCCTCAGATGTGTGGAAAAATATAATGTAATTTTTAGAGATATTGAAAGGCGTTAACAGCGCCCTCACGGCGGATTAGAATTCGACAAATACGTTACGCTCCAAATAACACTAAAAATTTGCTTCGAAGGCGGTAAGCCACGTGTAAAATTGGTAAAAATCGGGGCTCGGTATGTAAGAAGTAATGTTGCGGCCCTAAAATTAATGGATTGGCTATCAAACCTATACGGAAACGGTAGCTTTTTTGGCTATATTTCCCTGTAATTAATGCATATAGCTTTATACTTAAAAATGACATAAAAGCAGTTTGAAAACAGTTGCTACCAGAGACGGGACATGCCACAATCGACCCTATTTTTGAATAGGTATCGACTGGATACTTAATTCACCAAAGGAGGCACGAAACTAATTTGAATTTTGTCTGGCCACCTGCTATATACTGGCCACCAGCATTTAAGGCGCTGCGTAGCTGACGATACCTAGCCGGTCGAAAGGGTCGTTTTTGGCACTTCCCAGTCGTTTTAAGAAGCCTCAAAAACTTGAAAAAGTAAAAAAATCGTCGGCATAAAGCAAATCATAAGCCAATCAACTTATCCCAGCCCGAATACGAACGAGATGGAACCTTGTTGTCCCCACCCCATCCCCCTTTATAGCCCACCGAATCCAAAGCCTGTTTCACAAGGCGTTACCCCCGCCACTATCCTCCTCGACCCCACCCATGTTCCTCGTTTACCCCATCCGCATCATCGAAAACTCAGCCACACTTTTTTCCATCTCCCATCTTGACTCTTTCGCGCCCAATTTTGATCCACAAAACCCGATGACTCAACCACGATTCCCGGGCAACGCCCTGAAAATATCGACCACCAAGGCCATGTCTCGGGCGGTGTTCCAATTTTGGGTGCGGCTGACGATCATGAAATCGTGATCGGGGTGGCGGTTGAGAGATACAAATAGAAAAAGGCGAGGAGACAAGTAAAACATGCCCGGAAATGGTGGTTTTTCTTAAATGCCGTAATAGGTTCCTTGACTTGCGTCTATATATAATTCTTGGGAAGCAATCTGACAACCGAAATTGATCAGCTAGAAATTTTGTTAAGAAGAATGACTGCGCTAATAGCCGGTTTAAAAGGAATTAAAATATTCTTAGTTAACAACGTTAAATAGCCTTTGAGTAGGCGCACAGATCTTCTCTAAACAAAAGTGCAACATAATTATACCCTAAGTAATAAAACCTTGTGACTTTTTCGTTTGTGCCCTGTGCACACTTCACACGTGACTATCAACAGAAAATACGCCCTGAACTTGCAGCAGCAATTTTGCACCTAATTATGGGGTGTGTATTGTTGTTTGTGATGTAAGATCTATCGTCTCAGTCTGCCTGGCAAAGGTATACTACTTTTCAAATGGCTTCCCGATACCTCATGAATTGCACATGAAGGTCCGCAGCATCTACCAGCATGAGGCCTTCCTGTTCGACGAAACGAAGATGGAATATGGGTCTTGGTATACGTATTTCACCCGCAACCCGCCGTATGTAGATCGGATCGTGGTGGTGACGATGGGCACGGTAAGGTGCTTTTTGGAGGATACCTTAAAATATACGCCGTCTATTTTCAGTTTTCTTCTCTATCCATCATCACGAATCTCGTCGCGATCAGAATCGTTCAAAAGAATCCAAGTCTTACGGATTTTGTATGCCACAATATCACCCTCGACCATGCGCTACGAATCGTGATAGCGTTAATCGTACTGTATCAAGCTTGCTATATCGAAACTTATGGGTATGTGAGTGGCTAAGATTAAACACCCAAAAGCGGATAGACGTCGCATGTATAAAATACCTCTTTTAAGACCATTACTACGCTTTTTAGCACGGCCTCAGGAGCATATATCACCGGTTTACTCCGAATAATTCTCGAACTAAACGGAATCACCACTTCGATCGAGTGGAGCATGCAAATCGCCGTCTACCTATTGGCGCTCAGCCTCTCGGTCAGCCGCTTCCTTTCGGTCGCCTTTCAAAGCCGATTCTTTGACATCACGCGCTATTTTAAATATGCTCAGCCAATTTTGGTGCTGCTTCCATTTATCGCCATTTTTGCCTATCAATATGCAAGTTGGTTAAGTGGCCTTTGAAACAACAAAATTAGTCTTAAAATCTTGGGGTTGAAATGGTGAAATTCTGGCCTTTTAGCGTATTTAGAAGAGTTTTTAGCTAACACCTCATGCCATTTTCTCGTGCTCACCTATATGATTGGCGTTGTCGGAGAGCAGGCCGTGAACAGCCCCGAACTTGCAGGCTTTTTGGTATTTCAACAGATTATTCGCATTTTCACGATGGCAATTACCTGCATATCATTTTCATTGGATATCGCGACTTATTGGTTGCTTCGGAAAAGTCAGGTATTTTGAAAACAGCTATGTTCCTGGAGCGAATGTTTAGAAAAAGTTCAAGAAAACGCGCGGGGCCGAGGTTCGACTTTTACAACAGGTTCGGTACCTGTTTCGAAACATGAAAAACAAATTTAAGAATTGACTTTCGGAGTTTTTATCACATTTTCGAGTAATAGCGCACTTTTAGATGCTATTAAACCATATTTATGGCCTATCTGCTACTGTCGCGGGTGTCGCTTGCTCCTCATTTTTCTACGATACCTACACCTATCGAAAGTGGCTGCTTTTTATCCCAACCACACTTCTGCCATTATTTTTGAACGTATTGGCTGGGTAAGGCTTTTGTCATTTGCAAGCCCAACATTTGGAAATTTTAGCCTGATGTCCGTGCTTTTCCTCAGGTCAGGCAGTAAGACTCCAACTGTAGAAAATACGCAGGATTCGATGGTAACCGGCGCATTTTACTGCTGTATAAGGGTAGAATTTATTTGGCTTTTAAATATTTAAATTTAGCCTCGTGTTATAATCGTCCAACAATCGATTTCTGGACCACAAAGGTCCTGAGAACCAGTTTCAATTTTTATATCTTTTGCTCAAGCTGGATGAGGATTTCTTGTTCTCACAGAATTACCGATACCCTGCCATTTATTACAGATTATATAAAAATCAAGCTGATTATTCGGCATAAAATAATTATTTCATAAGTTGGCCTGCCCATAAATTGAGGCATTTGCAGTCTTTTCGTCTTTATTACAAAAATCTTCCGCGCACAGATACGTCCGGAATTTTCCGTTGGTCTTGTATATCGAGGTCTAAGCCAGAATTTTTACTTTACAAGTTTGAAATTCTGATACCTCAATTCGACCCACGGCCTGCGTCTCATTCTGCCAAAAACATCCTCGCCCACCGTTTTTAATAGAGATAGAGTATGAGGGCTAAACCTTACGTTAATATCGTAAGCTTCATGCGCTTCAAACCCTTGATTCATTCATTTTCTCACCTGAACTATGTAAAAATAAACACAATAATGTCCGCGGCAATTATCGCCAAATAAATTTTCTAGGAAAGCTCGTAGTAATGCCGGAATTTCGGAAACCAATTGAAGCGCACGTTCAGGGAGGAGCCGTGTACTCGGCCCAACGTGTACACCCTATGGACGTAGGGACCGCGCGCGCTGCCTGCCCGTGCCGTGGCAGGCAGTTTCCCTTCTTTGCGGCGTGGGGCGCCCTTGGTTCTAGCTGTGGCTGACTGGTATCTATCCGCGCCTCCCGAGCGTGGGGCCCGGGTTCGACCCCCGGCCGCGGCAATAATCTTTGTTTTTTTCCAAAAAAACGTCCCTGAACGTGCCCTTGAAAATCCACTTACCCGACCTCGATGTATAGCATTCTACGGTTGGCCTGGCGGTAAAATCACTAATAGCAAAAGTATTACAGCGATGCTGAAACAAAATATTGAACATCCGAGATTCCCATACATTTTTGCAAGATTTGAAGAATTCCACCGAACCATCCCCATGAAATGCGTACAGCCCATTGTCGTACCAGCTAAGGAAATTAATTTGTGAAAAAAACGTATTTAAACTCTACGGCAGAAACCAGCCGGGCGTTGCATAGGTGTACGTGACAAAGTCCGGCACGAACATGCCGGAAAACTGGTAGTTGGACCGTGCGGGTTGTTCGAACTGATTTGGGGAAACATTGTCAATTTTGGAGTACTCCTTGCCATTTGTGCTCTAAGGGTGCAGCTGGGTCCGATTCTGAAGATGTCCTGCAACGGCTCGAACTCCAATTGGGTCCAATTTGACAGCGGTAGTTGAAACGGTTCGGACATGTACTAAAGGAATTTTAATCCAAATACCGACAGCCGAGATCTTGACAGTTATAATACCGGTAGCGAAAATCCCGACAGCCAATCCCGACAGGCCAAAATCCCGACAGCGAAAATTCAAAAAGCCAAAATCCAGAAAGGCGCAAATCCCTGCGTCAAAATACCGACAGCAAAAATCCCGACAGCTTACGTCACGGCGTGCAAAATCCCGACAACCTAATACCGACCTGTTCTTGATGCTAGCATGAATGCCGGTTTCGTTCCAGCAGCCATTTGGCATGTCGTGATTATGGCTGTCGTGATTATGGCTGTCGGGTTAATTCCGTCGGGATTTTGGCGTTTTTCCATGCTGGCGACGGCACAAATGGACCTTTAAATTTTAACGCACATCAACCACATAACACTCCACATCGTAATTCAAATATTCCGCCAAAAAACTGTTTCCATTCCATGTAACGATCCAGGCATCATCTTGCTTTTTAAATACGGGAGGATACTTATTACACAAGTCGGTACTATAATCCCAGAAATCGATAATGTGGCTCAAAACATACTTGCAATAACAATCAGCCGAATATCGTTCGTCTGGTTGTATATAACTACAGCCTGGCTGCATGAATTTTAGCCCAGTCACACAAGATCGAGCCTCACTCAATCTTTGCCCGCCTGCGGTATCCTTTTTGGCTCCGTAGTAGCAGAGTTCTCCACTACAATTCGAACGTCGAATTTCACTAAAAAAATCGCATTTTCTCGACTTTACCCGAGAGCTCAGAGATATCTAAACCAAGCGTATATCAACTTACTTTCCAATAACATTTAAATCTTCATTAATGCATATAATCCCAAGGACAGTGCTAAATCCAATTTTGAAGATATATAAAATGGATAAAAACATATAACGCTGTTGATTTGGGTGAAGCTAGGCACCCTTGGAAAGCGCATCATGAAGTCTGTAATTATCGGCCAATTTTGATAATTACAAGGTTTGGAACCAGGTCGCCACAGTTTTGAACTTTTCACGCCTATTCCAAAAAAACAATGAGTGAAAAAGCAGCTAACAAAAGGGCATAAATAAGGGCACAGGCATTTGCTATCAGTGCTCGCAATCAGCACTTTCTCATAGCTAAATGCTTTGAAAACATGCTACGAACGTCATAACAAGAAAGGGCGGTGTGAAAAGTACTATAGGAAAAGCTCAAAATTTGATTAGGTGATAAATATAGCGAAAATAGGCAAAAAAGGAAAAATGAACCCAAAAAAACAATAGCGATGCCATTTGGTGTTGCGGTGACATCAACATATGATGGTACAAAAAAGGCCCATTTATTACAAATGGTAATTAATATACTTTATTAGGTTCAATTTAATTTTGATATGGTTTTATTTTTATTATTTTCTCTTGAAAAAGCTAGCGTGGATGAGCCCGAAACCTTGCTGGGTGATCCCAGGACGAGGGGGCACGAGAGAGTGGGCCTCACCGTGAGACGAAGAGCCACCCCTCATAGGCCCCCTCCCCAACCCCCATCGCCGTGCCCGTTTAGCTCAGTGGCAGAGCGTCTGTCTCGTAAACAGAAGGTCCACGGTTCAATCCCGTGAGTGGGCAATTCTTTTTGCTTTTTGGTAGAAAGTTTTGTGTTGGCTCCGAGGTGGTCAACTGATGGTCCGTTTACTGTTTTTTTGCCAGTTTGATGAATCAAGCGGGCTAGGAGCCAAAATATAAAAGTTTGGCAAGGGTCAACTGATGCCTAACGCTGTTTCTTATTTGCCTTTTTGTTGTATTAAAGCGTTGGGATAATAACCGATGTCATGGATAATACCACCTGTTTTTTTCAATGTGCCGCGGGTTTTTTGCGCATTTTTTGGGCAGCACTCCATTAAAAAAACAATGAATATCCGGACGGCCATTACATTTCGATACCTGTTTTGGTAGGGGGCTCATGAATCAGTTGTGTTTTTGCGGGCCAACCGCCAAGTGCATGTGTTATCAAGGGCGCTTGTTTGGTATATAACCACGAGGTGGCGGACCGGAAAGGCAGAAGCTTGTCAAACCAAGCTTTACTCTCATTACTTTCCACTTACTTTCAAATGGAATCTTCAATTGCTTTCTTCCTGTTGGCCATGGCCGGCTTGGCAGCGACGGTCTATGGAAATGATCAATCCGTACGGGTACAGGGGTGAGTTTTAGAGAAGTTCGGACGGATGTTGCACCTTAGAAAAGGAAATTTTTGAAAAATTGATAATTTTATCAAATCAATCCATGAATCATCTAGTTCTAGTCTAAATTGTTAGTTTTTGTATTTAAATTCTTTATTATTTTACGCTTTCTATGTTTTTAAATGACAAAATGCTAGGATGTTTGGAATTCATTTCAACGAAATTGAAAGGAAAATGAATGAAAATGGTTTTAAAGAACAAATTAAAATCCTTCTTTAGCTACCTGAGATGCGAAGGGAAACCATACGCCGATGCGAGGGTGAAACTCTTCGACAAAGATACTTGTAAGGAATTTTCCAATTTTTTGTACCTTCTTCTCGAATCTAGTCACCCCCGACGACAAGCTGGCCGAAACGAAGACCGATTCCCGCGGCTACTTTGACATCCAAGGAGTCGGCCATGAAGTCACCCGGTTAAACGCCAAATTCAACCTCTACCATCGCTGCGGAATGACCGTAAAAACACCAGTCCTTACTGTCGAATTTCAAAATCTAGGTCCCGGTCTGCTACTATAAGAACAGCTTCAAGATCCCGTTCGATTACGTGACCTCTGGGCAGAATCCCGACAAGGTAACTCGTTAAATCAGGTTTAAAAAACCTAAGCATTGTTTCTAAGGTCGATATCTCTAAATACGATTATTTTTCAGATCTACGATGCCGGAACCATCGAGCTATCGCTTCTCAAGAAGGACCGCGACTGCATCAACAAGTTCAACCGAAAATAAGCTGCTCGATAAGAGCCGATGCGATGTACAGCTGGACATATTGTATAAAGGAATTTACATGGATATTTTGGTACCTATGCACTTAATCTTGGCCGATTTTCAAAATTCTGAAAGAAAGTTATCGTATACGCCCCACCCCGAAAGTTACAATTAATAATGGTTTTTCATGGCAAAACCAAACATTGTCAACATGTCCTAATCTGTTGCCCCTCGTTGCCTCGTCATTCCGGGCGTCTTTGTACATAAGTTGTGACGGCTTTTGAGGAAAAATGGGTGCCTCATCATTCCACTTTGTGAAAGCGAATATAAGACGGCGACAAGGCTGAAAATTCCATTCTAAAATCAACGTAGATGTGGTATTCCGGCGTAGTTTTTCTACTTGTAGCCGGTTTAGTGACTGTAGTTTCTGGCGTGGAGCAATCGGTTCGTGTTAAAGGGTGAGTTAATGTTAAATGTAACGATAAAAATGTAAATCCATAGCTTTATATAACTTTAAAACGGAGCTGCTTTCATTTTCTCTAGGTCTAAATCTTAACTTAACATAAAAGCAGCAAGCCCCATACAGATATTTGTCTTTTTAGCCTCTTAACCTGCGATGGGGAGCCGTACACCGACGCCAGGATCAAGATCTACGACCAAGACACATGTAAGTTCCTTAAAAACCCAGACTTCAAGTCAAGTTATGGTTTAAATAAATAATTCCGAACCATAGACACCTTCGACGACAAACTGGCCGAGGCTACAACGGATGTCAACGGCTTTTTCGACCTTCAAGGCTCTGGCGACGAGGATGAGCCGATTACCTTCAAATACAACATCTACCACCGTTGTGGAATGAACGTTCGGAGCCGTGCTCGTCCGTTACAATTTTTAGGTCCACATCTGCTGGTACAAAAGCAGCTGGAAGATCCCCGCCAACTATGTGAACGTGGGCGGAAACACGAGCAAGGTTCGCTAAAGAAAATTCGCTAATTTTTTGTAGATCTACGACGCCCAGGAGACAAAACTGGAAATGCTGAAGAAGGACCGCGACTGCTTCAATTTTCTCAACTAAGAGAAGGCATCCTGAGGGCGCTTTTCGACAATAAACTTTCTGGAGCTGGTTTTCACGTTAATAAATTTATGAAAAGTCGCGAGACGTTTGTTAAAGCCTAAGTAAACCTAGGCCCCCGTCTGAACAAACTACAAGAACACGTTCAAAATCCCCATCGACTAACGGAGAAAAGCCAGATAAGGTACTGCACATAGCTTTCATCTGCTTTGGTCTTCTTTTTTTTGTTTTTTTTTTAGTTCAAAACAACAATTCGTATATCTACAACGCGAACAATCGATATGTCTCTTCTGAAGAGAGAGCGGGATTGTTAATAAATGCCATTTCTTTACGCGCACGAGATACAGTTTTCGGTGTGAGATTTCATACCTCCAGCTTGCCGAAACGCCCGGAACGGAAAGACAAAACTGGAGTCTAAGACGCAATCAAATCGTGTAAACAAGCAAGATCATCGAATAAGGGTGGCAAACAGGGTTGTTCACGGACGGGCTCGGACGGACGCGGGCCCGGACCCGTCCGCGTCCGAATAATTTGCTCCGGGAGTGCGGACGGGCTGGGACGGGTCCGGGACGGGCCGGACGGGCTCGGACGCAGGAAGTAGCCGAGCCCGCTATGCAAAGCGCGGATAGCCAAAACTTGCATGATAATTGATGAAATGACCGTTTTTCGCCTTCTTGTCCAAGGAAAGCACCTATGTAAATTAGGAAAAGGTAAAAATCGGTCTAAGATGTTAATTTGCTTGCATTCACTTTGCATGTGCTTCCGGTAATTTGCATCGCGGACACGCGGATGCCCCAGCCCGCACTGCGTCCGTCCGGCCCGTCCGGGACCCGTCCGAGCCCGTCCGCATTTTTTTATGCAAATTGCGCGGACGGGACGGGTCCGCGTCCCGGGCCGGACGGACGCGGACCGGACCCAAAATGAACAACCCAGGTGGCAAAGCATCGATTTTCAATTGGCTGGAAACGCGCACGTCACGGTTTATATCTGACCTCTTGGGGCAAATCAGCTTAAAATTGCGCGCTCCTTATTGATCGGCAGCGTCCGAAGCACATCATTCCGCTTCTTTCCTAATATCACATCTTATTTGATGAAATCCCAACGCTTTCGTCCTGATTTTCCAACGGTAAAACGGTACACATAGGATAACGGGGGGGGAATAAAATAACGGGGGGGCACTCATTATTATGAAATTTGCAATTACTGAGGGATTTTGCGAGTGCCATTCGATAGAGCGTCGAAAAATATACTAAGAGAATTAATTTCAGCCCGAAATAATGTAATAGAAATTTTTTATTGAATAAACAAAAAGTGAGGAAAATCTATGGGCAGCACATAGGATAACGGGGGGGAAAGTCAAATTTTCGAAATTTTCGACATTTTCGGTATTTTGAAAACGTCATTCGATAAAGCGTCGAAAACTGCCCTAGGAAAATTAATTTCAGCCCGAAATAATGTAAATGAAATTTTTTATCGAATAAACAAAAATTGATCAAAATCCATGGGCAGCACATAGGATAACGGGGGGGGGAAAGCCAAATTTTTGAGATTTTCGAAATTTTGAAAACGCGAATCGATAGAACATCAAAAAATATACTAAGAGATTTTTTTACAACGCAAAAAAATGTATTATAAAAGTTTTATAGCCTAAAAACTATTTTTGAAAACTATGGGCAGCACATAGGATAACAGGGGGGGAAAAAAATTTCGGCGTTTTGAATATTTTCGAAATTTTGAAAATGCCATTCGATAGAGGACCGAAAAATATACTAAGAGTTTTTTTTACAGCCCGAAAAAAGCTTATTTAAAAATACTTTTATCATATAAAAAGTTTGAGTGCCCCCCCGTTATTTTTTTCCCCCCCCGTTATCCTATGTGTACCGGTAAAACAAATCTTGATGGTAGGTCGAAGCACGCCTTTAGTTTTTCTCGTATCTATCAGCTGTGTTACACTTTTCTGGTGGTCTATGGATGTATGGGCATATGCTGGTCGATTACCAAACGCTATATAGCAGTGGAGGGTACCAGAAAAATACCTGAGATACCCTAACTAAACTTTTTAGCATCGATCGAAACAACAGCAGCTCCATACCAGGTGATGATCCGGCAAATCTTGGGATGAACAACGTTTCTCTAGGATGTTTGATAGCACTCTATTGGTAAGCGTTAAAGATTATCCTACCTTATATAATTTTGGCGCGTATGTGTGTGTGTGTGTGGATGTGACTTTCGAGGCCCGATTTGAGGGCCTTCCCGTGGATAAAATGCTTTAATTTTCCGTCACCCGGGGGAATCGACCCTTCTGTTTCCGATGGCGTTCTCAGAATTTCGATAAAATACAAGTTTACAAAGTTAAGGCCGGTTTTATTCATTTTTGGGGGTCCCTGAGGGGCTAATTTGTATAATGCGAAAAATAAAAATTTCCTCATTCTTGCCAGTTGCACTCGCCTGTGTGGTCGGCAGAGGGGAGGGGGTCCGAAGGACCCGAGTGATCGGAAAGTCAAATTTTTCATGCAAAAGCCGCATTCCAGCGCCCAAGGCCCGCGAAGCGGGTTTTGGGCGCTGGTTTATTAAATAAAATTTAACTGACAAGCTCTGAGGCATCGCAAAAAAATAACAGATCAACAACTTAACACTTTAGCCTCTGCTCCGTTGGTCTTACTTTCTACATTACAACATTTATTTTGACCGTAATCGGGCTCAGAAGAGAAATTCTGGGCCTTTGCTATGCATATCCGGCTTTTTTGGTAATCGCTTAATTGCCGTTTTATTCTCCTTAATGCCTAGTTGTCACAATTATTCATGTGGCTCGATGCGGCGGTCTCATCGTGGCAGGTGGATGGCGAGCGGTACATGTTTCTAGCGGCCGCCATGTTGTTTCTCACATTTTCCACAATTGCTTTATTCGTACTACGGATGAAACGGATTTTTGTGCGGATTGTCCCGGAAGGAGTGTCGAAGCGGAGTATAATGTTGTCATTACGGGCGAAGGAAGGATATGTTTAAATTATAACCAACTGATGTATAAAGGATCTACAAAAATAAGAGTACACAGCAGAGTACAATCAATTACGATATCAAAATGATCCCGCCACTAAATTCTAGTTCACTAGGCCAGACCTCAGTTTTTATCACAAAAGCACCCGGAAAATCAGCTTAAGCTTCCCTTATCGAGCTTCCCGATCTGAGCAAAACAGCTTCCTCTCTGTCCTTCGTTTGGTTTTCCTTTTTTTTTTGACTATGAAATCCAAACAGTGCCGCCCGAATTTTCTCACGGTAAGCTCGAAATTTGTAACCCCAACTAGGAGCCCTTTCGCTAGCCTCCTATTCCTCGGCAGTTTTACATTTTTGGGGAGGCTCCTGGATGTATGGGCATATGTTGATAGACTATCAAAATTTGTATAATCGAGGAAAGTGATAATGTTATGAAGGCAATAACCGTCTTTACCGTGCCGTTCCAGAGCGTATCCAAACACAACGAGCTTGGATGCTGTTTGCGGTCTTGTGGCTAACCTAGGCATGTGGCATATCTCTGTTGGGTTTTTGATATCGGTTTACGGGTATGAGATAATTTTATCAACCCATGAAAATAGGATTTTTAGACTATCAGCTGTCGGCTTTGTATTTTACATCGTGGCTTTTATCATTACTTTGATCGGACAACGAAGAGAAATCCTAGGAATGTGCTATGCGTATCCAGCTTTTTTGGTGAGTGATTTTACTGTATGGAAAATAATTTGTAATGCTGGTAATCATCTGTTATTTATCTCTCTTATTTTCATTAGGTAGCTTTCAGATATCGCAATTCCTGCTATGGCTGGACCGGGCTGTGGCTGCTTTGGCAGCTAGCGATCAGCAATACATTTGGCTCGGCTCGACGATGATTTTCTTGACATTCGTAACGAGCGGGCTGTTCATTTTACGAACGAAACAAATTTTTGTGCGCCTGATTCCGGAAGGTGTTTCGCAACGTAGTGTGATGCTTTCAATACGGGCTCGGGAGCATGGCTATCCGTGAAAATGCCGTACATCCATTAGATTTTCTTTTTACGTTTTTCAAGGTTACTGCGAATTGTCGATTGCCAATTTTTTATGGATTTGATTTTCCGCTACGACTTCTAGATGTCTAGACACAATGCAAAGTTTTTTCATCTAGGTTATTGATTAAAATATCCTCCGAATCCAGGAGCGACATGTCAGCACTGATGTACCGCGTTCTTAAGTCGCCGTATTCGCTTCAATAACCGTTCTCCGCCTCCCAGACGTGTCGGTCCAGATTGTTACTGGGAAGACCTTGTCGCTGATTGCTCTCCCAAACACCAAAGTAACAAACTGCTCTGAACGAGTATTCATTAATGGCATTTCTCTCTCTCTCTCTCTCTAGTCCGGCCTACCTTGAAAAATTCGAATAAAAATGAATGGCAGGGCCACGATAAAAAAGTGGTAAGATCGCCCGAGGATGCGTAGAAAGAAAGTAAGCGCGGAAGTGGTCGGAATCTCTTCAAAGACAGCCTTATTTAATACGTAATAACGTTAAGAAGCAAGGTCGTACGCGAAAGCATAACCCTAAGCCTAGTCGACCAAAGCATAATAAGCCCATCCCTGAGCTGATAAAACCCAATTCCTGTTCAAAACTGACGATCAATAGCAAAGAAGATTTGCAGCATGGTCCCCATTTGCAGGGCTCCAGGCAGCATTGCCGACAGAAATAAGCCTAGCTGCGCGTTTCTCTGTGCGGCCAACTGGCTGGGCGAAAGGTTTTTGCCTAGAACTTTTTAATCATGTCTATTTAACGAGCAGATACCTTGCATTGTTCTGTAATGGGCACGTAGATATATCAAGAGCCACAGATTCATCATGGCAGCCAAGACATCATAGAAAATCATAAAACCAAGTACGTTCTAAAACGGCAGTTGCAAAAATTTCATTGCATCCAGCTAAACAAAGGTTTTTTGCAGCCTGTAAGCAGTTCTGCTTGCTACGAAGCGTACCCACAATTA